ACGCCACAGTGGCCGTCGACGTTTTTTCTCCACGGACAATTTCGACCAATTTCATGACATGAGCCGGACTGAAAAAGTGCCACCCGGCAAAGGATGTTTGGCGCTGTGGAGATAGAACCGATGCCATTTCATCAATATCCAAGGTGGATGTATTGCTGAGTAGAATACAAGAGGGTGGAGTGACCTGGTCGAGTGTGGTAAAAATGGATTTTTTGACTTTCATTCGTTCCACCACGGCCTCGACGACCAACTGCACATGTGTCAAATCTTGCAACTTTTGCGTGGACGCAAGTCGCGAAAGCAATTGTTGGGCTGCAGGTTGTGTCATTTTTTTCTTGGCCACGTATCCATGCACAATTTTATGAATATTCTTGACACCCTTTTCCAATGCCGGTTGGACCACATCGACGAGTGTCACATGACATCCCGCTTGGAGCAATACCATGGCAATGCCACTGCCCATGGTCCCGGCTCCCACGACGGCCACTTTGCTACTGCCAGTACTGGACAAGAGCGGGTGTTGTTGTTGCAGCGCGGCCACGGGTTTTTGCGCCTTGCGAATGGCAAAAAAGGCATGTCGATACGCCTGCCCTTGCATGGATTGTAGCGCCGCGGTAAATTGTTCGAATTCGATGCGGCGTCCCACATCCAACGGTTGGGTGGCCGATGCCAGGACGGCTTTTAGGGCACACCGGTGGACAAATCCACCGCGATTGGCCGGTGGCAATTGTTGTTGGGCAAATTGTGCAATCTGGTCGACCATGGCGGCATCTGGGACAGTTCGGCGACCAACGCGTCGATAGTCGAGTGGCATGAGTTCCGCCCATTCGGCCCATTTCAAAGCTGTGGATAAGAGTTGTTCCTCCTGAGGAACCATGGCATCGACCAGTCCCAATTGCAGTGCCTGTGGGCCTTTCATGGGTTTGGCCGTGAGAATTCGTTGCGTCGCTTCTTGCAATCCAATCAATCGAGGCAGACGTTGTGTACCACCGGCGCCCTTTTCTCAGCAATAATAATAAGATGACCAAACAAAAATCAGATGAGAAAGTAGTAAAATCAATGGGTATCTGTTTTTCAGTTCTTAAGCAGTACTTACCGGAATCACTCCCACGGTCACTTCTGGCAATCCCATTCTGGCCTTGGTAGTACACACTCGATAATGACAGGCGAGTGCCACTTCCAGTCCTCCTCCCAAGGCATTTCCCGCAATGGCCGCTACGATGGGTTTGGGAAAGTTTTCGATGCATTCCACAATGTCAATCAGACTGACACTGCTAGTGTCGGTAGCAGCCGAAGAAATGCCACCAAATTCACTAATATCGGCACCGGCGGAAAAATTCTTGGTTCCTCCCGTGACAATGACACTGGTGACGTGAGGAGAATGGCGTGCCGTTTCCAGTTGCTGCCACAGATAGTCTCGCACCGGTTGGCTCAATGGATTCAATGCATTCTTGGCCGCTTGCGAAAAGTCGATTACAAACACCACCATGGTTTTTTCTTCCTAATTGGAGGGGTAGATACCTTTGCGGAAAGGCAGTAGTAGCAAGGATGGCAGGAACGTTGTGTGCTGGGCTTTCGTCCGTACCAGGTAGCAATGATGAGGTGATGATCTCTGTTGCCGTGGATACCAGCGTCACTCTTTTCTCCACAGAAGAAAGAAGAAATGGGAGGATTGCGTTGGAGTGCCAAGCAAGATCTTCGAGGTACATGTGCGTGGCGTTAGTCACGAGTTGAGTCCAATTGAGTCACAAAACAAATCACGAGTGACAGAAAAAAGAAAAAGCAACGGCTATCTTTTTTGAGCCGTCTCCCACCACAGTCCAAGGAGCCTCTCATGTCATGCGGCAACGATTTCCATCATCTTGCCTCCCTGACATTTCCGTGTGGTTGCCTTCCCTTTAATTAAAGATGACAGGATCCGACGCAACGAGCCCAAAAAGACGTCGGATGTCTTTACTATTACTATTTTTCGTGACAGTGCTGGGCTGTTCTGTGCTCGTGGGCACGGTTTCCCTTCTGCTCCTTTTTCACTATCACCCCGTCACATCGTCTGGCGATAGATCCGTCATGGTTCAGATTCTTCATCTTTCGTCATCACTGCCCGATGACGAAAGAAGAAACAAACTGGGGTCTAGTACTACAATGGATCATCGTCACCAAATACATGTAGAACTGGATCCAGCGTTCCTACGTCATGGTGGTCCTGGTCCAGCTGTACCGGTGCAACCACAACATGGCGCGAGTAATCCCAAACAGGACGACAACAATTGGAATGTCCCACATGTCCCAGATTCCATGTTTCAAAAGCCAGATACAGACCGATGCTCTCAATTTCTGGGAAATTCCATGAGTAATTCCGAGGCTCGCTTCTTTTCCCTGTGCTCCGACGACATGATGATGGGTATGCTCTGGTGTGAATGGAATCCTGTGCTGGAATCCAGTTTTTGTCAAGCCAACAACTTAATTGTGGATGCATCCAAGATTACAGTTTCCAAGGGAGGGGAATCCATTCAGCAAGTCATGGGACGACCCGAAGCAGAGGAATTGCCAACCTTCCAGCCGGGTGCCTTGCACTTGTCACAGTGTGTTCCGAATCAAAATCACATCAACCCCAAGGATCTGCCCTTTCATCTCTTTGACATGTTTCAAAGCATACTAGATGAAGGAACCAGCCATGATGTGGAATGCACAGCCTATGAAGAACGTCCCACTCTGATCATTACACGATACGAATATGCCAATCTGTACCATACCTACTCCGATTGGTACAGTGCCTATCAATCAGCCATGATTGCATTACAGGGCAACCAAACAGCAGTGGAAAATGTACACATTGTCTTTTTTGATGGGCACGCCCAAGCCAACACAGACATGGGATGGAAGTTGCTCTTTTCCAATGCCACTGTCTCCTATATATCAGAATACAAAAACGACAAGAAAGAACCTGCATGCTTTCGGAATGCCATCTTTGTACCCGCAGGGTACACTGCACCCACCTCTGTGACTTCTATTGAACGTCTGGGAATGGGGGAACCAGCCTACAAGTACATAGACGCATCATGCCAGAAAAACAAGTGGCAACAGAGATTCCGAGAAATGATGGTTGGCAATTCCAAACGGTATTTAATAGCCAACAAGGCAACAACAAGGCTCAATCTCCTCCTCCAAGACGACAACAACAGCCATCAAGATCCCAATTCCCAAAAGAAGATGGAAGAAAGGAAACAACGCGACAACCAGCCTACTCTACGAGTCATGTTGCTATCACGCACCAACTATCAATCCCATCCCCGTATGGATGGCACAGTATCTCGAATTATTCAAAATGAAGAAGAAATCTTGCACTTTTTGGAACACTACAAGGGTCCCGATGAGCCCATGGGCATTTTGTCCAAGGCAAATTTTCCAACGGTGATTGTCAATCGGGTGGTTTTGGAAGAGCATGATGTAGCCGAACAGATTGTCATGTTCCAGCAAGCGGATGTTGTGGTTGGCATGCATGGTGCAGGGCTTTCACACATCTTTCTTGCTCGTCCGGGTACAGTGCTACTTGAGATCAAGCCGCATGGATATAGTGATAGTATGCGCCATTTTCAATACCTGGCACAGATGGCTGGATGCATTCATCGACCTCGTGACTTGCGTACTGATGATGACCCCTATCCCGTGCCCATTTCGGATTTTGAACAATCCTTCAAAGAGAGCGTGACACTGTTCTTGGGTCACCAAAACAAACTTATAGCTAGCCAACCTTAATGTTAGTAGTTTGCATGGCCCACTGATGGGGACAAGAAATTTGGGTTGTTTGAGGGTCGTCAGCATCAATCCACTGCAGCCTTAACAAGCTAAAGACATGCTATGTCCACATGTAAAGCGTACCATGACAAGAACGATGAACCTCCAACTCACCGCAACAGGCTTTGTGCTGGTATGCATACCGGTAGTGCCTGGTGGCAACAGTGGAGACTTTTCTACCAGCCATTGAGTGATGTCACAGCAGGTGGACATTGCAGAATGCCATTATGGCTAGTATTAATGATGAAGCTAGCAAGACTCCTCATTCCTGTAATGCTGCCTGAAACAGAGCAAAATGTACTTGCCAAACGAGGGAAGGAAAATGACTGGCCTCCGCACTCCTAGTTCTTAAAATAGATACTCCAATTGAGTGCTGTGGCCACAGCCACCCAACCGCATGTCGGCAACATGAATTTACCAGCCTCTGGATCCAGATCGTAGAATAGTTTGGTACTCGTCAAAAGAGCCCCAAAGAATGTTGTAATCACTGCTGTTCCTCGCCCGATGCATTGAAAGCCAAAAAACACCTTGTTCCAGGCGTCCCCCAGTGCCAAGTGAGCACAGTACACTCCCAGGGCCTTCCAACGGAATTTGGGCTTCTCCTTGTCATCATTCTTCAACACCTTATTCAACGCAATGGCCTGGGTAGGCTTGCTAACCAAAAGCCACATGATGGGGAAGAGCCACCCCGGAGGATTCCACACTGGTTTAACCAAGTTAGAATACCAATTTGGGTCTCCAGGAACCACATTGGGATCCATAAATTGCTGCGTGGCGGCACTCATGCCTCCATCCACCAAACTTCCAAAAATGCTCGAGGCAAACACAACCACTCCAATGGAGAGCCATTGAGGCAAGAGTTTGATGGAAAGCCATTGGGGAAGTTTGGGCTGTTCGATTTCGGCAGATACTTTATCAGATACTTCCTTGCCGGCTCTCAACACGCCCAACAAAGAGATGGCTTGAAGTATGGCACTGACTCCAACCTTCAGAAACAACGTCATAGACGTATCACTACAGCCACCACCTCGCAGGGCATGGCCAGTGGAGACTTGTAAGGCCGAAGAAGACCTCACATCAGGGAAAGCCACCGGTCTGGTTCGAAAGTTGCTGTACAAGGGTAGCTTGACTGTGTTTGCAAGGCCATCAGGACGAGGAGCCCAAAGTGCAGCCGTTGTTGGTAGCAAAAGGGCGAGGTAAACAGAAAGGAAGCAACCAGAGACCTTCATGGTGTTTGGAGCCCAAAAGGAAGAAGCAGTTAGTTTGTGCGAGCTTTCTATGGCCGATCTTTCCGCCTCTTTGATGCAATTCGCTCAATCTCTCGACTGTCACTCTCCCGGAAGTCTTGGGGGATGAAAAGATCTTCCACGCCACGTCAGTACGTCACCTGAATAAAACAGGCATAAAAACCGGAATCGAATCTGAATAAAACCCCGAATAAACCGGAACAAGTACCAATACCGGTACCGGTGTACCGGTGTGTGTGGGTGTCTGATCTCATTTCTTATCCTCAACTGTGAGCAGAAAAGTTGGTTTGGCTCGACTTCGGATGAAGACATTAATTAAGGTGACTGCCAAACCGGCGGTTAACCATGGTCCGCAGAAGAGCACCCCTGTGATCGCTGAAGAGGGTCCTGGTAATGCCGAGGAGCTTTGCATCATCTTGTAAAGACCTTATGTTTGGCTCCAGAGTTGTTTGTTTTTGAAGGAGGATCATGCAAATGAGGAGTCTCGCGGGCAGAACAGGACGAGCAAGACAGGATGTGCGACAACCGAAGGAAGCAAATGAGGAGGTATGCGGGTAGAACGGGACAAGCATGACAGGATTTGTGGCGATTGCCTGGCTGATGCTCCCATTAAACTCAAAGTAAATATTTAGTAGGCATTTGTGTTTTTAAAAACTGTTGAACCACGCCACCTCGAATATGGTTCACATCGAGTTTGACACGTCATGTCTCTGTTTCATGGCGCGTGCTCGGTTCAGAACGACGCAGCGTAGAGCTGTGACAGGGCCTTGCGCAGCTCTCTCTTGGCTTGCAAGCTGGTGGTGGTGCGGAAATCGAGCTGCCGGCAAATCTCCCAATAGGCTTCGGCAGTATTCAATAGTTCGTCGCCCGATGGAAGATTCTGGCCCTCACATCCCGAATCTCGCAAAACATCCGCCAAGATTTCATATCCTTTGTCACGGAACCAGCCATTGACCAAATCATCTCCCGTGATGGAACAACTGGGCTCGACGATTCGTGGTGGCAAGGCCGGATCGTGTGGTAGATCCACCACAGTGCACGGATGCACGCTGTCATACCCCAAATCCAAGTTGGATGCGTTAATGTAGAGGGTGGTTCCGTCGAAAGAAGTGCCGTATCCCTCATGGATATGCCCGAATATATGCAGCCGGGGACGGACACGATTTTGAACCTGCTCCAACAGATCGTAACAACCCGCACGGCCGCCGTGATCGCATTGATCGCCTCGCCCCAAGGGCGGGCCGTGAGTCACCAGAATGTCCGTGCCCGAGGGAATTTTCGACCAAATTTTCCAGGAGGGCTCACCGCGAGCGACATTGAAGGCCCAATCATAGAATTCTGGACTCCAGGGCGAACCGTAGATGGAAAGTGTCTTTGGCTGTTTGTGGACCACAACGGAGGGGTTGAATTTCACCTTTTTTTGGCTGTCGTGGTCGCCCTCCTTTTGCTGTTGTGTCGGTTGGCTTGTCAAATCGTCGTCGTCCTCTTTGGCGCTGCCAATGGGAACAGTACACGAGGAGTCTTCCAAGTAATAGAATTCTGGCTTCTTGCCCTGTTTGGTTTTGTCTGTGTTGGTTGTCGTAGTGTCGTTCATCATGTTCATCACGGCTTGTCGTCCTTCTTCTGCATTGAATCGCTTTTTGCGATGAAAGCGTCTCCAGCTACGATCATAATAGGGCAAATCCAATGTCATGTCGTGATTCCCTGCAATACAAACCGTCACTGGAAACGCCAACTCTTCAAAGTACCGTAGCATGTCCTTGATGTGTTTGATCTCTCCCGTGCTGGTGAAATCTCCACCGTGAATCAAAATGTCACCCTTGGGTACCGAAATATCGCGGTGTTGTCCATGCGTGTCGCTCATGCAGACAATGCGAGTGCAATTATTGCTGCCGTGTTTCGACTTTTTCCAGAGACTGTCCTTGGTAGACACGGTGGGCACTGGCAGGAATTGCTGCTCTGAGGCAATGGTTCGCCAAGCTGCATCGGGATTCAAAGGCACATTATTGTTGGGTCTCTCCTGGTTCTTGCCGCTGTCGGAGGGAGGAGGAGATGCACTGCGCTCCAAATAGGACATGTCCTTTGCTTCGCCGTCGTTCTTGGTTGCTCGCAGATAGGAACCATCGTCGGCCAAAGTCTCTTCCACAACGCTTCCATCTCGCTTTGTCACTTGGGTCACTGCCTTTTTCAAGGACGCTTTGCGGTTGAATGCAGCAATGCCGGCAAAGAAGCTGGGCTTGGGACGGTCGTCGTCGGCCATGGTTTGGTTTCTTTGGTTTTCTTTTTTTCCTTCTTTTTTATTGTGTTTGGCTACTTTCTGCTTTACTCAGTCGTGGATACAAACGTGTTTGGCATTCACATCATGTTGTCTCGATTGCACCATTGCACCTGCCCATCGTGTTCCTGTAGTCGAGCCATGTGGTTGGTTGGGCTTCAAGGGAAGGGTCGAAGAGGGGGTAATGAAGGAAACAAGAACTACTCCACCAGAGTTTTCGGTACGGCACTGGGATCTTCTACAGATCCTCGCTGTGCATGCACTGGCTGTTGCGCTCTTTCGTGTTCGCTTCTTCTCCCGGAAGCAGTTGCTTGACGCCAAGTGTCAAGTCCAGATGGCAAAGGTGCCAAGAAAAAAGAAAGCCCATTGCAAAGGCAAAGCTAAATAAACTTAACACGCTTTGAACTCGATACCACAAAGATGTTTTCACTATCGTTCAAAGCCCTCGGTCAATTGTGGGCAACTCATGCCGACGAAGAAACACCGCCCAAATGCACCAATACGGAAAATCGCTGTCCTCGTGATGCAGAAACGGCAAACGCTTCACCAGACGGAATGCACCAACCAACCGTCTGCAATAGCGATATCAGCCACAAAGATTCATCTTATGAGAAAGACAACCCAGCAATCCGCGCAAAGACCGGCCGAGACGCCCAGGAGCCGCCTCCTGTCGTTCTGGCAATGATACAATGACGGAAAGTGATATGCTGCGGCAGAATGAGGACATCTGGAAAGGGAATGGTTGCCGATGGAATCTCAAGAAATGTTCTGATGCAGCCGCAAATGGCCATTTGGAAGTTCTAAAATAAATGGTCGAATGAGGCCCTTGGGGAACCTTGACATTTCATGTGTGCTGCTAGGTTTGGTCATGTGGAGATTCTTCAATGGGCAGGTGCCCATGGGCTTATCATACGGTACATGTGCAGATGCTGCAAGAATTGCAAGAATAGAAGTGGTCACTTTTATAGCTAATATTCTCAAGTTGGCCCATGAAAGCGGTTATCCATGCTCGGATGCCAAACACTGCATTCTTGTTGCCTCTGAAGGTGGTCATCCATGGAGATCCTGAAATAGATTAAAGAAAGGGGTGCCCAGAACCTAGGTTGATTTGAAAAGTCTGGATAATAGTTAGTTACTCTTTGTTTCTCAACTCTGCCTTCTAGCTAGCTGGCTAGCTTTAGCAAGTACATGTAGCTAGAGCACCCAGGTTCCCATGGATGTTCAATCCGATAGCGAAAGCACCCTATAGACAGATGAAGATGGAAGATGCTGACTCTTGAGATTTACTGAAGAGCTTGTAGAACGCAGTTGCTGAGTCTCTTTCATGGCATACCATACATTCCCTTGAATGGCCCGCCCCAAGCTGAGTCTGAGCCATCAAGCTGAGGCTTCTATTCTTATTGGCGGCTGAATGCTATTATTAATTAATTAGTCCATTCCAATAAGGTAAGCTATCTAACCGTAGAACCCCTCTCTGCGGTACCATGCTGAAGATGGAGAAGGCCATGGCGCAATCCTTGGTATAGAGAGACCCGTTGTTGGTAACTTCTTCCCGCCATTTGGCCCTGAACGAAAAAGACTTGACGTGGAGACTTCAAAGCGCTTGAGAGCACCGTCAAGATATATATGCACAAAGTTTTTATTTGCCAACCACATCAATGTGATCGTAACATTCAAATAATGATGAATGCGTGAAGTGAACAATTACAACGATGATTGATGTCGCCTAATGGTACACGTTGTTCCATTCTTCCAAACTGAGACGACATCAAGTGAGAGACCGATACACGATGAAGCGAAATCGGCAAATGTCGCTAGTCTACAAGAACATACCTGATGCTTTCGACTCGTCGGGGTCTTAATGATACCACAGGTCCGACCTCTTCATCATCGGTGGAGATCGCCAAGCTGTCGTTTTCGTCGCTGGTCACGACTTCTTCATGGTGGTGGATTGCTGCGCTGCCGTCGTTTTGCTCCTGATTATCAGATGTGAGTATTTCGTCATCGAGTGGCAACTTGCGCACAATCACCTCCTGTGGGGGGCCATTGTCGAGAATGCGTGTATTGCTGTGGCGAAGGATCCGGTTTCTACGAGCCGCCCAAAACCAAGAGGTTTCACTGGAAGAATTCGCCAAATGTGGGCTACCGGTATCGGTGGGAGGAGAAGGTGCAGATTCTCCATTGCCTCTTCGTCGTCTCAAGCGTCGCATGATCTTGTCAAGTAACATCGTACAAGTCTATTCCTTTTCTCCTCCTCTAGACTAGCCTACTTACTTTGGGATGGGCAGACTGACAGCAATGAATGATGAATCTCTTTGGTTTTTGTGCGAAGGCAGATGCAACTCTATCTCGCTGGATGTGGCTTCGGCAAGTTGCGAAAATAAATGATGTCCTATTTTCTAAGCCTGCAGAACGGATTGGCCTTTGATTGGCCAACGATTGGCAACTATTGGCCAAATAGAACTTCGATTTGCCAAAGCTTGGCTAAAACGTTTCCAAAGCTTGGCCACTGGTTGGCCCTAAGACTATAGTAAAACAGTACTAATTGGCCAGTAATTGGCCAAAACTTAGCCAGTAAAGGTCATACGGTAGATTAGTCCATTGGACAAGCATTGGCCAGTGATGTGACACCGTTTGGACATTTACTTTGGCGATGGTAAATAGGTTGGGCCAGTCAATAATTCGCAACTTGCGGGTTCTGCATCATTTTGCCTCCCAACCAACCCGAGAATTTGTGAGCCCCTCAACGAGCCTACATCGTACCGGAAAGCCGTTAACACGACACCGAAGAAACCCACTATGATAGAGTGACGTCAGGTGTCTTGCGAGTGTCTGGGAACCCCTAGGAACTAAATCTTCAAGTTCCTTTTCGGGAGCACAATCTTTTTACAAAGCCAAATCAAGATATCAGTCCCACAGCTCCACAAGATTCACTCCCAGTGCATCCATCCAACATGCATGACAATTGATGCTTTTGTGCATTTATTTCAAATATCCTCTCTGGCTGCCAACAATAATGTTGAATCTTTCAAGAATCCTTTTGCTCCTTCTCCTCCCGCTGTGCGCCGTGGCTCAACTTTGCGATCAATGTGCTGGTGCGGAAGCGTGCTTTGGAAGCGGCCCCTGTGCAGCATGCGATGCATCGGTCAATTGCACCGGCACCTGTGAAGGATGTGCCACAGCTGGTCCCTGCCGATCTTGCTTCGAAACTGAGGAGACGGAGGAGCCCTGGCCCTGGCCTGTTCAGGTATCTGAACTTCCATGCGATTACTCAGTCGACAAGGCCGAAGTCACCTTGGTGAGGGGTGAGATCCCGGCGTGGCTTGAGGGGACCTTCTACCACGCCCAGCACACCAACTCAACCCACAACAACTATGATGGGAACTTGGCCAATCCATCTGGAATATTGGCCATCAAGTTTGGAGCTGGCGAGACACCTGTCGCTTCCTTTGACCTCGCTAAAGGATCAGGATGGCAAGAGCAATGTGACAGTGTTACACCACCTTTCATAATGGATTGTGTCGTTACAGTCAACCAGTTCGGTACCCCTGGAGCAATTGCAAGTGTCTGCGCTGGCGGAAATCTTGTCCAGTTTGCAACCGATGACTCCGGAACTGTGGAATTCAATGGGATTCTGGAACTCACCTGGAAGAATGAATCCTTGGAAGATACCTGGCCTTACGGAGAAGAATGCGCCGGGTTCTGTCCACAGGTAAGTTTTGTTGGAGTCAGGAAGGGCACGATGGTGATGTGCATCCTCAAAAATTTGTTTCTCTTCGTCAACTTTACGCAACAACAAAATCTCAGAACTTACAACCGGAGCACATGCCAAGTGACTCCAATGGAGACGTTTACAGCCTTTATTACACCATGGAGCCAGCTGGTTATCGTGTTTTCAAGCTACCCAAAGGAAGCTTGGAGAGGGAGGAAATAGCGTGGGTTGAATCTGTACGAGACACGCCCTCGTACACTCATATGGGCCCTGTGCCGACAGCAAACTACATTATCATCGTCGAACCACCCTTGCCTCTTGACGGTGACTACGATTGGGCAGAGTTTCATTCCAGCTTTGATTCCACAGCCCCTGTTACAGTAAGTGATCTCTGGAAATCAAAGATATTGTTATTGATGCATTTTACTTCTGGTCTGACTCTTTTGGTATAATATGCAGATTTACGTCATTGAAAAGGATTCAACATCGGGTAACGTCATTGCCCAGTACACAGCCGACGAGACGTACTGGACCTGGCATGTTGCTAATGCGTGGGAAGACTGTGAAACTGGAGAAGTCATGTTGGATGTTACCAGGGATCCAAATGCACATTCTTTCAAGTCCTTTTACAACAGCACACCTGGTGATTTTGGGGAATCTACCCTTACACGCATCACCCTTCCCGATCCACGCACAGCGGGGCTTGATGCCGTTGCCAGTACAACAATCCTCGATACTGCTGGTTTTGCCATTGAGTTTCCAGTAACTCAGGACCAGTACCAATTCGCCGGCAAGACAGGCCATTACTGGATGGCAGGTTCAGGGGCGGGCAATGATCTAGCATTCCCACTTTCTATGAACGCAATTGTGAAGCATGATGTGACAACAGGTGAGGCATTGGATACATATGAGCCTGAGGGTCTCTATGTGGGCGAACCATATTTTGTTCCACGTACAAAGGATCAGGGCGCCATGCGTGATGATGGTGCAATTGTGGTGATTGCAATGAATGCCACAGGTAATCTGTTCGGCGCTGTGCTAAATGCTTCTAATCTGGAGGAGCTTGCTCTTTTTGAGATTCCCATGGCACCAGTGCCAACATTTGGCCTCCATAGCTATTACTCGACTGTGAGCACATGGGTGTCTACTGCTGAGTCATGTGACGGCGAATCCTCCTCTACAAATGGCACCCCCGATGGCAGTGGTGACGAAGGAGCCATTTCCGAGCCCGACGCTGACTCTTCCACTTCCGGAGCTGTGAAAAAGCTGTTGACAGCATCTGCATCAATCGGTGCCCTCTTGGCACTCTCCCTTTGGTAAATATGCTTATTGTCGCAGGTTCAAGCACTGAGGAAGAGACAGCCATCTGAGTTACACTACAGCAATACTGAGTAGCATTTATAGTACAAACAAAGATTTCGGTTTGCATATACAGCGCCGGAACATTCGTGTATGAGTCCGCTGCATCCTGGACCAGCTAGGTACGGGGAACTCGATCAGGCGCTCACTGCGAAGATTCCTTGGCAGTGCAAGATGGGACAAGGATTTGGCCATACTTCGCTCATGAGATAACAGGAGGGAGCATCATCACTTCCATTTGACCTTGGCATCATTTGCCTCTGGCTGCAACTTTGGTTGATTCTTTTTGATTGGTTCCAACTTCTTTCTGCTTACTTCAATCATTCATGCGTCGCCTTGGCAACCAGTGCCTTTGGGTTTCATGAAACTGTAATGATTGTTGCCTTCGCATTGATCGAGACCCCAAGCCGAAAGCAACGAGTACCAACAGTGCAAAAAGTGAGGCCATGTCTGACGACTTCCTCTCGGGAGTCTCTTTTCGACACCTGCATCGAATCACCTGAAATAGACAGAAGTGTGAATGAACCAAGCCATTCGCAGATACTAAACCAAGCGGTACGTTCGTTCCTTGAAAGGCGGTTTTAGAGTACCGCGAGGGAAGGGACGGAAGCCGGTGAGGGGCCAGGCTTAGGCAAGAAGAGGACAATAATCTATCTAGACAAAAACTTAATTCACTGATAATATTTATTTGAAAAGACAGTCAGAAAACAAACAGCATTAGACTTTGCAATACCCACCAACATGAGCAGCTGGAGAAAACTAAATAATAAACGGCACATTCATTTGGCATTTGGTCTTGCCATCTATGCCTTTAGCATGTGCTATCAATGGCAGGATGTCATACGAGCCAATACACGGAACATGGCGGCTGTTGACACCATGCAGAACTTAAGAATGGCAGCACACCCGAAGCTGTTAGACGCCGAGGAAATGATTGAAAGCATGCCACAGATTGACGATGTGCCTCCAAAGAATTCCACCATTGTGCCCTATCCGCCCATTAATCATCTCAATGAGACCAAACGAACCACTCCAACACAACTGCCTCTACGCAAACATGTTGTGGCTGTTAGACCTGAAGACTCAAAACCACCCAAACAATGGACAGTCGACCCGAAATTCAAGGGACAAAAGCATGAAAAGCAGCCTCAACAGCAGCAGAAGGAAAAGAGCAGCTCAAAACAAGATCTATCTAAGGATTCTGATTCTCCAAAGGAGCAAGACAAGAGCATGTCAGAGGTGGAAACGCCGAAGCCTCAAAGTCGCATCCACATGTCTCAAAATATCACAGTAGACAGCCCTCTTTTTGTACTAAGCTTTGCCAATCATGGCAATGTGGCCCTCACTCGTTACTTTTGCTGTGCCGGACTCGACTCAGATACATTTGGGCGCACCTTTGTGGATCACAGAAATGGCCAATACAAGTACATTGGTGATTGCATGATGCGTAACCTTGAGAGCCCCAAGAAGGAAAACGATCTGAAGCGGCTGGGTTCCAAAGCCGTTTTGGATGGGTGTGGTGCCTACAAAGTGTGGTCGGAAATGGAATTTGTCACACACCATCGACATACAGATGTCAAGGCACCACGCAAATGCTTCTTCCCAGCTTTGCAGCCCAAGGTCTTGAATCAGCTCTTTGAGGCATACCCCACATCCAAAGTGCTGAATGTCATCCGAGACCCAGATGAATGGTATCATACCTTGTCGCCCCAAGAGAAACAGCGTTGGTTCAAATGGTGCAATGCCAACCATGGATATGTCTTTCCCGAAGCTACTGCTCCCAAACAGGCATGGATCAGCTTTTACAAAAACTACCAAAAGATACTCGGAGAAGCTGTGGCCAAACATCCTTCTGTTACTTATATTGAAGTGGATATGACTGCTGGACCAGGGAAGACTGCCTCCATGCTCCAAGATGAGTTGGGAATCCCCCCAAGATGCTGGGTCGGTGCAGCAGTCAAACCAGGGTTGCCAAAGGAAATAACATTTCCGGTTTTTGTTGCATCACTACCCAAGAGTGCCACAAGCACTTCACATGACTATCTCAACTGTGGTTTGGGCTCCTTAGAAGGCTCCCACCAATGGACAGCATACGCTGACACAGGCAAAAGTGTCACTGTAGGTGAATGTTGGCGCGATAACATTCGACATAATCGGCCTATTCTGGAGAACTGTGGTGATCAGAAGCACTGGTCTGATTTTGGCATCTTAAAACCTGGGAACCAATGCTTCTATCCCACTATTGATGGTGGATTGGAGGCAATGTACAAGGACCATCCGTATGCCACTATTCTACACACCACACGAGATTCCAAGAAGTGGTATGGGTCAGCCAGGAAATGGGCAAACATCTTGGGTCGTTGGAAGGACAACTGCCGCGGATTTCCAAATGCCACTGTGGCGGATGAAACTGCTTGGACTGATTTCTACGACTGGCACACAGAGCATGTGAGGCAATTTGCCAAGACGCATCCAACCATGACTTATGTTGAGATAAAGATTGAAGATGAGGGTAAGACACAAAAGACTTTGGATGACAACTTTGGCTTCTCAAGGACCTGCTGGGGACATTCGAATGTGAACCCCCACAAAGAGGACAAAAAGAAGCAGAAGAACATCCCAAGCATGTACACTCTTGATCAAAAGTCTGTGAAGCTGACCCAAGGACCAGCTCAGATCTCCGATGCTTGACGCCTCTCGTCACTACAAAGCTGGCGTCACCGAATGCATGCGCTCCGACTTCGTTAATACAAGATCACTAAAGTACTTATCATAGATTTCTTCTTGGGAATATCCTCTTTTCGAAGCTTCCGTTCAGTGCACCATCAATGATTAAGCATACGTATTCTGGATCATATTGTAGACCATGTCCTGTTTATCTATATCGCCATAGACAATGCCCTCTGGTCCACTCGTCTTGGCCTGGTCGCTCAGAGAGCCCGAGACGCCCCTTTTGCTGGCCACAAAGGTTCCTGTTTCAAACTCGAAGCCATTTTCTTTTCCAACCACGGCATCCACGTACCGTTTTGCACCAACTTCCAGCTTGTGAAAAAAGCCAGTCAAAAGAAGGACGGGTATAACCACGTACTTCGCTAGGAATGCCACAAAGGGCCCACCAAATGCGTCCGAGTTGTTGGAGAGGAATTCTGTCCCAGCCGTACCACCGGGACTGACTGTCACAGTGTAAGTTTCTGGATGAGCCCGCCCAAATCCGGAGAAGTACAAGGTACCGACTCCCTTGACGGCTCCATAGGCAGTATTCCCATCGGTGTCATCCTTTTCCTCAGCATTCTTGTAGTAGTCACCATTGAGAATGCTACAAATATCTTGTTCACTTTTTTCTCCCAGGCCGGGTGACTTGGCTGCGCCACCCCCTTTGGCTGTTTCGCTCCCAATGTAAACGACCCTGGACTTGAAGGAATCATCACCTTTCTTGGTACCAATCTTTCCTGCCGCCAACAATCCGTCAACAAGATGCACATGGCCAATAACATTCACCTGCGCGATGGGAGTGACATTGTTGGGCCCTGATGGAGTGAGGGCACCACGAGATCCTGCATTCAATATGACACCGTGGAAGAAATCTTCGGGCAATGATTTGACAGTCTTTCGGATAATGTCTTGCTTGCTTTCGTTCGGGTCAAAGTGATGCGCTTGGAGCTTGTTTCCGTCGATGGTACTCGTGCTGCTCACCAAATCTGCAATGGCCTTCTTGGCCTTTTCTTCGGATCTAGCACACAAGTACACCTTCTTGGTGTCATCCAGCAGCGCCAATTGACGGCATGCGTCTTTCCCCACGCCGCTGTTGGCGCCCGTCACTAAGTAAACTTTGCTCATTTTGCTTTGCTTTGCTTTGCTTTGCTTTGCTTTGCTTTGCTTTGCTTTGCTTTGCTTTTGCTTTCTTTCTCAACTATTTCTGTTTTGTGAGATGGTCTCGGTGGGTACTGTCTCTGGCTGTTGATAGCCAGCTACCCGGTAGCTGGAAGTATCTTCGTGGTCGCGTGTTTTAGAGCCGACACAAGCGGGCTAGCTGCTACCGGTAGACTAAACTGTCATTCGACTCTGCATGGGAGGGAGCATGGGAGCATGGGAGCTACGAGTTTGTAGCTAGCGGTAGGTTCTGCTTCTGGTAGCTAGATGCATGTAGATTGGCTTGTGCATGCTTTGTTGTCGCGTTGGTGTCCTCGTCCCAGAAGATAGATGCGTTCAAAAGCAGCCCAGCTTGCTTTCTGTCGTGCTTGAATAAGCCAGCAAGCCGTTTAAAGAATGATGAAGTCCTTTCGTAGACCAAAGTCATCCGTCACTCAAAGGTCTTTCGCAGGTGCTCTTTGGAGGCCCGCAACTTGGGCTCGACGGTTAGTTCCGCTACAGTATGTGTACATGTATGCACTTCATTGATTCGATTCGATTCATCTACTTGGTCTTCAAGGCTTGTACCAGGCACTTCAGCTTACATGACTCCTTTGGGAACGCTCAGAAATAGAACACTCTGCTACGGTATGTAGTGAGGACCACGGGCAGTCGGAAACAGTGATCTTGATTCTGATTCGATGCATGAAGTAAGAATACGAGACGGCGCCGTACGAACGAACGAAAGAACGAACTTTGGTAGCATAAGGTAGCATTTTTAGATTACAATTCAGATTCAAGCGTGGTGTAGCGCTAGCTGGAAACCGTACCGTACCGTACCGTACCGTACGGCACCGGTATTCCTCCCGTCGCTGTAGCAGGTCGAGTTTTGGCTACGATGTAATCCCGGCTCCTGACTTGACGGGAGCTCGTAGCCTTTATTGTTTGTGGTGAGAATTGTTGTGTGCAGCCGAATTTACACTTGATCCATGAGATGTTCGAGTGCATACTCGTATCGCGGCGGCAAATGATACTGAAAATATTCAATATCCACATTGACTCCGATCCACGACAATATGAGGGAATCACAGGCCTCAAAATCGTATTCCCCCAATGGCTGTTCTTTCATCCAGATATTGGCCGCGGCGGGAATGGACAATACCGGCGCCCCTTCTTTGGGGGCAAGACGACTGCCATTGACGGCCATGACGGCATCAATCATTCCTTCCGGTGGTTTGGTGCGCGCCAAGACCAAATGCATGCGTGCGCCGTGGGACATTTTGGTTTGCATATACTCCTCTATGGTTCGTACGCAGTGAAAGACGTGTCGGACCGAGTCAATCGAAAGAAAGGATACGACATCTTGTTCCAGAATGTAATTGGTGGTGGATTGTACGGCTTCCGGGATGCATTCGAGTGGAGTAAAGACGGGAGGACTGGCAAAGGCAAAGCAGCGAATGGGATGCCCCAGTACTAGTTCTCGTTGATTTTGTTGACACATCATGTTGATGAGACTGGCCACTCCACCTCCCAAACTATGACCTGTCAAAATCAATTCATAGTCTTCATTTTGTTTTAGTAAATTCACAATCGTGTCTCCCACAGCCTCTTTCCACAGCCGCTGCGCCATGGCGTAGATTTCACTGTGCGCTTCTCCTCCAAAACAGGGTGTCGAAAAGGCCGTGATATCGACCACAATTTCGGAAAAATTGTACGTGCCTCTAATGGACAAGACCACTGTGCGGTGGACGTGATCGACAGCCACCAAATGACGCAAGTGATCATGATTGGTACCTTCATGATAATCCACATCGAGCAATACAATATCATCGGGTGGAACTTGCACGTGTTCACTGATCCAAGTTCGCGTGTCTTTTTCCCGTTGTGTGGTTGTCGTTGATGATTTTGTTTTTGATGAATTATCGTGTTGCCGCAATTGCGCGGCAGCAATCATGGTGGGTCCATAGACGGCCGTCGCATAGCGCATATACCGCAAGGCTTCGTGCGCCGTGGGCAATTCTTCTGCGACATGTGTAGTAGTCAACCGCGAGAGCTCTCTTCGATCAAATCGGGCATTGAGAATGGTTTGAATTTGCGACAACAAACCCAATCGAGGCAGTAGTGCAAACCCCAACGAATCTTTGAGTTCTTTTTCAATCCCCGTCGTGTTGAGAAATTTCGTAAAGGCTTCCACACTGGGCTTGAGCCGTTCGTACGGAGACGGATCTGCCGAATGGGCTTGACGCGAGCTGGAAAGAAACCCAATGGTGGTCGTCGACAAGACGGCACCGAGTCCTGGCTTTTGGTTAGTGCTGGTTTTTGCAATAACCATCTATCTAGCTATCTATCTATCTTTGATTATTTACTTGTTGTGTAGTAATAATGATCTGCCATGGTGGTACTACTACTTGGTAGCTGGAGTGAGCAAAGTGGGTAGCTGACGTGCCGGTTAGTTTAGACCTGTACCGGTACTGCAGATGCTGGTGTCAACTACACTGCATCTGGCGTCGTCAAGAGCGTTACGTTGTGCACAACATTTTTCAGATGATACGAGTGCTACCGGTACTACCTGGTACCTAGCTAGCTGGCTTGCTACAGTCCAGCTAGCTACAGTAGTATTCGTCGAGTGACTGATGCTGCTCTGATGCCGAGTCAGCAGTCCCAATTCGGGACAAACTCAGTCGGGAAATACTTCTTCAAGCGGTATACGCGGTTTTAGTCGCAGGATTTTATCATTCGCGGGGCTTAAGAACATGGGATAGAACATGAATAGATACTTATGCCACAGCATGAGTTCACATAACTCTTCCCCAAAAAGTGATTCAAAGAGGTCGCGTGATCTCACATACAACCAGACACAGTTCGTAGAGATGGTGCATTTTGTACCGCTGCCAGTTACGGTGGTGGGTCTGACCGGATCCACATCCTTCCAAGAGCAGTCTTCGAACTGCCAAGAAGTACCGGTGGCAAAGCTGTAATCATCCTCCAGATCCGGTGGAGAGCTCCAGGATCCTCCAGCAAGCAAGATACAGTACACAGTGGCAAAATCTTCTGGCTTTTGTAGCTCTCACAAAATAAGGAGCTCAGCAAGAGAAACTCACAATTCCACAAACCTATTCAATTCAAAAGACATAATGAGCTCTTCTTCTGCAAGCTTTGACGACGGAGCCACCATCCTCCACCTCCATGACCCTGAGGAACACGAACTACCCTCCATCAAATTTGACATGTCCATTTTTGTGGGAGTCATGGTGTGTGTCGTCATTGCAAGTTCCATGATTGTGGCATTCCTTCTTTATATTTCCAAAATGCAAGAGAAGGCGGCAAGGAAGCACAAAGAGGGCAAGAAAAGGCAGAGCTTTGAGGACCTCAAAAGCAACTTGGAATGCAAACCATGGGGAAGTGACAAGGACGAAACAGAGCACACCATGGACATGTCATCGGCTGAGTCTGATGAAAGTTCCTCATCTATTGAGTCTGTCATTGAGGAGGAGGGTGATGAAGAGATGCAGTTGCAGACGATTGCCATGAATGGAGATGATGACCTCGACAGCAGCCAGCAATCCAAGCATCAGAAGGATGGTTCCTGTTGCCCCATTTGCAATGAGATCTATCAGTTTGGACAACCTGTCTATGAATCAAACAATCCCCATTGTGGACATCAAGCACACAAAGTCTGCATGGGCAAATGGCTCGAATGTCAGAATTCATGCCCAATCTGCATCCAGCCCTTTGTCTTGAGAACAGTCTAGCTATTTTTCCCTCGTGCTGCTTCCGTTCCAGCGATGGCATGATCTGCAAAACCAATGTTCAAATGTACAATAGGCCCTCCAGTTTCTCCCTCTCTTGACCAGAGATCACAGCGAACCACCTTCCTGTCTCCCAGCTCCCAAACTGTGAAACTCCTCTTCCCTCCCCAATTTTCCATAAATTAGAACATTTTCTAACGTTTTGATGAATTTGCCTTGTTTTTATTCAATAGTTTCCAGAACCACACAATCGCAACATCGCGACAACAACCGACTTACCGTGCCTGCATTCTGCCGTACTGGTATCTGTTGTTTGACTATCGTATCGTAAGAGGAAAGCTTTCCAAGATGGTGGATATCTCAGAATTCAAAGTCGGAGTCATACTGAGTCTGGAAGAATGTGGGAAAGCCAAGGGTGGCAAAGCGTTGAAGGCATGCAAGGTGAATATCGGCGATGAAGGTAACCCCATCACGGTAGTGACCAACGCAAGCAATGTGAGAGAAGGATCCAGGTGAGTGAGTACATATTGTCTTCATGCTTATGGTTTATCAACCCAATGAATTATCAGAGAAAATTTACTATGGTCGACACTGAACCGATTGTTGGTGTCACGCTTTCTTTTTTCGACTCCCACAGAGTCGCAGTAGCTCCTGCTGGAACGACAGTCCTGGACGATCAAGGGGAAGAACTGCAACTGACAAAGACTACCGTCGGTGGAGTCATGTCGGAAGGCATGTTCTGTGATTCTAGAATGCTGGGATGGTCCGGTGGTGCCGCTGGGTTGGCTGTGCAGATACCCCAGAGTTTCGAGATTGGAACAGCACCACCCTCATCGAAGCCACGGGGTGACCAACCCAAGCAAGAAGAGGCTGCCCCGCAACAGGAGGTACAAGGACTATTTGAGAAAAAGTTGACCAAAGAAGAAAAGAAAAAACTGGCTGAAGAGAAGAGAAAGGCCAAGAAAGCAGCAAAAGAGGCCAAGAAAGCAGCGGAAGGAAGTTAAGGGTTGACGGCACATTTAGAGTACCAGGTACAGTACAATGATACTATACAGACACCTCGAAACTCAAATGGCAAAACCTCTCTGATACAAATACGACAATTTAGTCTTGCCGGATCAATGGCTACTCGGCTAGCTAGCAGATGGTTGGAGTCTGACTGACAAGATCTGATGAATAGAATCCATTCTCGGGGTTGCCTACTCAATGGTAACACCTGCTGCTGGACAAACAGGTTCGACGACAACTCTGCAATCCTCGTAAAATACAATCGTACACAAGTCTTAGTTTCATATAGTATGGTTGTCGCGTCGTTGCTCCAATTAGCGACTGTTTCGAGCTCCCACTGAAATGGTATTCCAATTACCCTTCCGGTGATTCCCGAGGTTTGTGCTTAACGCGGCCTTGCAAGGCGGTGTTTGGCTTTCTCTACAGGCCGGACTCTTCTTCTTGTCCTTCCTGCTGTTGGCGCTCGTCGCTCTCTAGCTCCGCCGCCACCTCGGCGTGAAGGTCACTTATTCGCTGTTTGTGGACTCCGTGATGTATTCGGGGCAAATGATCATCTCGCAAGTGGCGGTCTTCGTCGCGATGTTCTAACTTGCGATCATGCGTATGAGGGTGTGCATGGTGCTCGTGGTCATGATGTTCTTCATGCTCCTCGTGCTCCTCGTGGTAGTCAGCTGTTTCTTTCTCTCCTTTCGACCTCTTTCCAGCCTTCCTGCTACTTCCCTTTGCACTGGTGTAGTAGTAATCCGGTTCTTCACATTCTTCGTCGATTTCTTCTTCCTCCTCAATGTCAATCTCAATGTCAACTTCCACTTCTTCCTCTTCGTATCCGTATCCGCCCTTGCTGTCTTCAATTCCACTCAAGAACCCTCCTTCTTGTTCCTCCGCGTGTTCGGTGACGGAATAGTACTCTCCCTCGTCGTGGTCCTTTAGCACGTGGGCAAAGCTGAGGTGCGGTCCCTCTGCTCCATCTGCTGTTTCTTCGTCCTCGTGGCCAATGAGGTTCCTTCCTCTCCGTCCCTTGCTATGCTTTCGCATCATCTTTCCTGATCCTTTCTTCTTGACTCCTTTGCTTCCCTTGCTTGCTTTGCTTCCCTTTGCCTTGCTGCTGCTCTTGCTCTTTGACCTTGCTCCTGTCCCAGGCGCGCACGTGGGCTTGGTTATGGTTGGGAAGAGTGTCGAAGGAGGTCCAGCTGGGCCGGGCATTGTGGGAATCCCTATTGAAGTTGGTTCCGGTGTCTCTTCAGGGGGCCTGGCATCAATGGAGGGGCCAAGCAAGAGAGGTGATTCCGGCTCTACTTGCAACAGCACATCTTGGAATGTTCCATCGTCGATGCCACTGCGCGTTTCTCGTGTATACAATGTCCTGACGGCGACTGGATCTTCATCCGGGGTAATCATCAAATCATACCTTCCCATTGCTTCGTGGCAAGTGGTGAACTCGGTGTCTGTCATGTTCGTTGTTCTGTTTTCAAAGCTACACCCAACGCGAATGACATCGTAGACGACGGCTGAATCTTCCACGAGGACTACTTCAAGGCGACGGCCGTGCGCCTCCATCAACTGGCGCGTTGCTTCCGCTGTCAGCTTCTCCACAACTCCTTCCACAAATACGGGGAACGCATCGCCCATTCCACTGGCATTCACCTCGAGGGGATCAGCAATATCCATATTATTACGAACCGACCAGGCGACGTAGATACGAACCATGTCTTCGGGTTCATCCGTCTCCGCTTCGGTTGGGGCAACAGTTCCGCCATCTCCTTCACCCTCGCCAGACGGGGCCGTAGTCGCGTTGCCACCCGTACCATCCGTGCCATTAACACCAGCACCGGCTCCGGCTTCAGCACCTGCATCGGCTGCCGCACCAGCACCAGCACTGGGAGCCACGGTAGTCATCGTCATACCACCTGCAGCCGCAGTGGCATTTGCGTCCGTGCCGTTCTTTCCCAAGGGGTTGGACAGTCTCGCGGCATTTGCCACACAAGATCCTTGGTCAGCAAGGAGACTGCAGGTCTTGATACATGTTCCACCCTCCTGATAGCATTGTGAACCCATTTGTTCAGTGGTCAACCTGATGCCTGCTCCAGGGCAAGTCGTCGTAACGACCGTGTTGGCAACGAAGTTTTGGACAGGTAGAATAGCAGAGTCACTGCTTGCAAACGCCAATTGTTCCGCCGATCCGCCAAAAAAGCAAGATTGCTCCATGATCACGGTAGATCTCATGTATGAAAAAACCAGTGACTTTTAAAGCCAAGAGAAATTGAGTGAGTGCAAGCTCTGGTTTGCGGATCATGTCCTCCATTTGAACTTACGGTAAGCTTTGTGTTATCAGCAAACCTGGACCTTCTCAAGTTCACCACAGCGTTCATCAGCGCGAAAATTGCGCTGCTAACACTTGCTGGGTTCTGCACAGCAACGGATGGATCTTGGTGGTTAGCATGGGCTCATTGGAAACATTTCACAGATTTTCAAGTTGAAACAAGGCGGCGCTGTACTTACTCTTCCGACGTTGCTATCGAATGAAGAATCGACAATGTCGACCGTGGCGGAGGTGCGTGCATGAACAAGGTTCTTTGTGCCGAAAGACAAGGGTTAGATGATGCCAACTTCTCGTGGATTCTATCAAGCGCAAGTCCACCTTCAGATTACACATACCTCAAACTTCTTATTGTTGTTGAACTCGACCCTGTCCAGAATGGCAGTTGCCGAATCCTCGGCCACCACACCATTCCAAATATTTGCCTGCTTGAAATCTCTGATCTTGGTTCTGTTGAGAAGCAGCTTACTTCCAGCGTTCTGTACATGAAAGGCTCTGTAGGTGTAGATCATTTCGTAAACTTCCACATTGAACACACTCAGCGTACTGCCCACCATGGCAGCACCAACAGTCTGAAAACGAAAACAAAGGTTAGTCAAAAGACACTAATGCTCAATCAGTTGTGGTGGGTTGGCTTGCCATATCTTACATCAATTACACTTCTGGACACAGTAGAAGATTGCATCATACCAACTCCTCCATTCGACACCGAAACAAGCCCCTAGGACAACCGCAACGGTGAGGTATTCAGTACGGTATGATTGCGAGCTGATCAAGACTGCAACTCGTGTTATGGGCACTTACTGCACAAGTCACATTTGACACCGTGAGTTGATCAATCGCAAGGACTCCACCGTCATTGGAAAACAAGGATCCACCAAAGCCATTCTGGCAGAGGAGCAGCTTGTGAGAAGAGTGGCAAACAGTGGAAAGCAACAACAAAGCCTAACAATGCACGAACTCACAATCAGAACGCCTCCTTTGACATCCACACGAGCAGGTGGCTTTCCATCCGTTCCTCCCTGTTGCGCAACGACAAAATCGGAGTAAAAGTTCTTCCATACAACGTCCATCAATGTGACTGTCAAAAGTTCCGTTGCCCGAATGTCAATCGCCGTTCCGTTAAACTGCTCGAACGTAACACCAATGACAGTAGCTCTCTGCAGCTGGTAGTTTGGAGTGGACAAATCAGACATGACAATTTGAGACATTCCTCCTCTCAAGTTGCATCGCATGCTACTGGTTGGTTTCATGTCATCTCCACATGAGATGACGGTACCACTGAGAAGAATGTCAATAGGCGCCGAGGAAACATCAAATACTGTGTTGGGACAGAGTACAAAACTGTAGGGAGGTCTGGGCTCTAGTTCTCCCGCTATGATCCTTTCCAATTCGGCAACCTGATCATCGTTGATATCTTTGATGGTAGTGTAACCGGTAATGGTACGATCATAAGGACAAACAGTTGCTCGGGAATTGACCGGAGGCTGCTCGGCCGCTGTCACTGCCAAAAAGGAGGACAACAGAGCACCGAGAAACGCTCTCGCGAATTTAACTTCTACCATGGTTAGCCTTCTCTTATCAGGTGTGTTCGACCAAAGAAAGCTGCTGAACAATATAGGTCTTTGTTTCCTCCTTCTCGGTCCAAATGATGTCGAGAAAATAATGGAGCTTTTGAGGCCAAATTTTGTGAGCTTCATGGGTTGGATGGAGGTGTGACACTGTCTCTAATTAAAATTATTTCATTCGGGTCTTGTAGGCCTTCTGAGCGGTAAATGGAGGTTAAAGATCCCAATCGCCCACACGATTTTTGCTTCCAACGCAGGTGCAGTTCACCATTCCAAGCCGTCGCCGAGAGGATGCGAGTTCGGGATGTTGAGACAGGAAGACTGCGATGATTACTACCTAGCTTTACCCACTACTAAACACTAGGTCGCTAGCTAGCTAGCAACGACCTAGCTGCCTCTAGTTGGTCCTAAAGTTGCCAGGGGGTTGGGATAGGCTTTCAGACTTGTACGCTACACGGTACCTGGTAGTCAAAGAACTCAAGCATCGTTTTGAGGGGATCAGCTCATCTATGGAGACATGGAGACGACATACAAAGTGGGAGTGTGTGCTAGTATCTGTAGACCATGATCTCCTTGCAGCCTCCGTCCACTCGCCCAAAGCAACAAGCACGACATCCTGGGCTTTGCTAGTAGGATTGTTGCTCACAAAAGAAACGTCTTTGATCCATACTGCACTCCTTAGGTTATTAAAATAACACAGAGTCGAGTCCAAAGTGGTATTTTGGCTCATGCTAGTACAAAGCTGATGTCTGTGCTTTTGGGGGTCTCCCCAGTCTTGACTTTGGTACCGCTGGCAAACAAGCACAATAACAGTGTTCCAGATGGCAAATTGGTGGCAGGCTTTTAATTAAGATCCATCGCAAACAAGGGCGACATCATTGCTGGATCCTGGAGAGATTGGCTTTGAAGAGAATATCTGGTTGTGAATAGCCATGCATGCATGCATGCATGCAGAGAAACATCATTGCTGATTGCTCTTTGTTGGATGACTTCAACCATCATCATCATCAGATCCTGCTGTAAAGAATTTGCTGAGTCGATAGTGACTTCCATCACTATCTTCTCCACTATTGTCGTCTTTTTTGCGCTTCTTCTTCTTCTTTTTGCTCTTTTTCTTTCGTTTCCTACTGCTCTCATCGGAATCTGTGGCATCATCCGAATCATTGTCGTCATCGTCATCCTTCTTATGTTTTCGCTTCTTTCGATCTTTCTTTTTCTTGTGTTTCTTTTTTCGTTTCTTTCTTCGATCGTCATCCTCACTATCGGAATCATCCTCGCTAGAAGAAGACGACGACTTTCGTTTCTTGTGTTTTTTCTTTTTCCCACCATGATTGACCCCTCGACTCAAAATTTTATCTCGTTCCTTGTCCAGTTCCTGTCGATATTCTTCCATTTTCTTTTGATCCAATCCATCCAAATTGAGTTTGTCTTCATTGTCCTTCTTGTACTGTTCCCATGTCGGACGATTGCTGTCGGCCAATTTTTCGGCAATGGTTCGTTCTTCCTTGCCCGCCATGAGTCTTACGACCGCTTCCATTTGAGACGATAGTTTCTGTTGTTGCTGTGACTGCGCCGCTTGTGCCTGTTGCACCGCGGGATGAGCCGCTTCGGCACCGCCCTGACGACGCGACGGAGCTGCTGGACGACTGGCCACTTTGGAATAATCCACCACTGACTTTTTCTTGCCATAGTCATCGTCGTCGTCGCGACTGCGTTTCTTTTTCTTGCTGCTCATGGTTACGTTGTTCTCCTATTCTAAATTCTATAGCTGGCTAGCTAGCTAGAAATAGATGCTTGTCTCCAAGCTCGAAAGGCTCGGCTTCGTTGTGTGTCTTTGTCTTGCTGTCTTTGTCTTGCTGTCTTTCGCCTTTCTCGTCAAAGCTGGGGTGGTCCATCATTCACGAGTATTGCAGTCATGAATCAAAAGAAGATCCGCGTTCCACGCCACGCTTTCAACACTCACAATTTCGCACATCCAGCGACACGAGAGAGGCAAACGATGGTGGCGGTCCTCGGTGTGGTGTCTCTCAATAGCATTGTGGACAATTCACTGATCCAGGCTAAATATTGTTCTTTGCGCCCATGGATATCTGTTTAGCTTTCTACAGTTCAACGAGGAAAGAGAATGACAAGCAGAAGCAAGATCTACAGAAAAGTCTCCAGAACCAAAGTCCCCAAAATGCTAAACACTAATGTTTCACAAGACCTATCCTTTGGATTGGCTACAGCAATCATTTGTGCATTTGGAGCCAATGTATCACTGGCTAATGTGAATGACAATAGACAAGCAATTTGCTTCAATGCATTCTTAAAACAAGGATGCATATTCTGTTGGTGATGTCAATGCATTGGGCTGCTGTTGGTGTGACGGCCCTTCTTCAGTTTGCTGCAATGATCGAAACATCGGCATTGTTAGTAGCTGCAACCTTGCTAGGATGTTGATGGTGCCCGCAAATGGAAAGAAAGGCTATGGCTACGCTGCATGCCTGCCCGCCTGCCCGCCCTTGACCTTCGTACTCAGGCTTTTTGCTGCGATTTTGGTATTATTTCTTGCTGCCTAGAGCTAGTAGTACTGGAAAGTCCCGCAAAAGCTGAATTTTGCGATTAACCTTAATTAAGCACCTTGAACTGTTGAAAAAATCAACAGGTGTTGAAAAAGTGTTGATTAAGTGTTGAAAAAGTGTTGATTAAGTGTTGATTCTGTTTCAGCAACTGTTGAAAATACTGTTGAAAATTTGTACATCATTTTCAACACTTTTACTGCAAACTACTACTACTGGATTCAACAGGTGTTGAAAACAGTGTTGAACAGTATTCAACAGTGTTGAAAAAGTGTTGAAAAAGTACTGAAAAAGTGTTGACTAACTGTTTAAAGAAACTCTTACTGTTGAAACAGAATTCAACACTTTTACACGGACTTCAGCGATTTCAGCATTTGCGGGACTTTCCTGGAGAACTAGACTAACTCGTTGGTGAGAACTCCAATTAAAAGAATGCAGCGAATAGTGACGGAAGACGGAAGAACTCCATTGGACTTGAGTGGGGAACAGAGTGCTGTAGTGACATAGATCACGGTGGCGCAGGTTGTTGATGAAAACGGAGGATGGACCCCCCTCGTCGTATCAGATGCCTAGCTAGCTAGTATAGCTAGCTAGAGGGCCGGCAATAATAAGAATCGTCACCAGCTTCCTGTCGAGCATAGGCGTTGATAACTGCCAAAGAAATGCTTGGCTGGCTACGTACCTGCTGTCACTACTCTAGCGCTAGTAGCAGTTGACGAGAACAACGGTCCACCTTGTCGGCACCACTGACTTCATTGCTTCGAGGTCCTGAGGAGGTTACGTTGTTACAATATACTCTGATTCCCACCACCTGGACCGTGTCAACTTGCTTGTTCTGATAGATACCATTTGGCTGTTAGGGTAGCAACTACAGTATCACCAAGGATGAAGAAAGCTTCAAAGCGTCAATCAAGTAAGTGTCTTGCTTGTTACCATCAATCTCTCTCCTGATCGCGGCCACCTGGACCATGTCAACGTCTGATAGATACCATTTGGCTGTGAAAGCAGAGCAACTACAGTATCTCCGACCTCCAATACAAAGCTTCAAAGCGTCTGCGTCAAGTAAGTGTGTAGCTAGCTAGAAGTAGGGGTACAGCTGAAACCGAGCTTCTACTCCTCACTCCTCAGAGGAGTATGGCATAGCCGTGAAGATAGATGATAGTGAGAAGATCAGAATACCAACACCAGTGAACAATGGAACTAGACAACCAACCAACCAAAAGTCACCCGAATCCCAGAGGAAAAGATGCTGAACGTGAGTCGCTACGGCCTTATACAGCCCCAGCATCTCCAAGAGCAAGGTTCTCTCGCTTTCTTCCAGCTGGCTGGTTCGATCCTTTGTTGCTGCTTTGATTGCAGTTTCAGAGTGGATGCCGAAAGGAAGCAGTCTTATCAGCCTGTGCTGTACCACCACTGGCTGGGTTGCTACGCTACCCAAGGAAAGTGGAGAAGCCAATCCAATAGGCAGCTAGCTAGCTAGATGAAGCTAACTCGAGCTGCTACGGTACAGACTGATACTAGAAGCTCCATCTCGTTGTGTTTCTGGTTTGGTTTAGTTGGAGTTATTAAAATTATTAGAATCAGCTTGTCGAGGCGTTCATGAGTGTCAGAACTGGTTATAGCGTGTGTATCTCGGCAAGCAAAAAATGGCGTAGCGCATAGCATAGCTTGTGTTGTCTCTCAAAAGTAAGTAAGTACGTCCGTAATGGTAGCAGTAGTAGTAAAGTCACAATCAGACGAGTATAAAACGAAACATGGGTTCAAAAGGGGCAGGTCGGTAGTCGTAGTAGTAGGTCAAAAGGGTTGCGTTGATTGGCTTGGTTGGCGGCTTGTAGCCAGTCGTTCGTTCAATGCTGGATAGCTTCCCGTTGAGGCGGCTCGGAGGGTTCTCTCAAGCAGCCGGGGGGAGCTTTTCCAAGACCTTGAGTTTCTTGGCACACGGAGGACTGAGGACCGTGTCATCCAACTCGCCAATGAGGCAGTCCACGAGGTTGGCACAGTTCTCAGCAGAAAGAGACACGATGGTATCTTCATCATCGTCATCGCGACTGTGCTTCTTGGGAATGTTGTGGGTGACTTGCTCTTGGTTGTCTTCCATGGGCGGCGTGGAGGGAAGTGGGACCGCAAAGGCCGAGTTGGTCATGTCGACAATGCATGATATGACCTTGGAGGCTTGCCCTGCCATCGCCGTCAAAAGTTCATGCATGTTCAGGCTCACTTCGGCGACTCGTAGGTCGTTGCCAGAAAAGACACCTGTTCCAGGAAAGAAGCAACTGCACTGTGAGACGTCAATGCATTCAAAACAACTAACTGGCTTGCTGCTGAGTCAACGTAATACATGGAGACTTACCACAAATCTTTCCATTGGTCTGGAAGGATACCTTCATGAGCTCATCGCCGTCATCTTCCTTGACATGCGGAAGAGCAATGTGAACACAGATAATGGCCTTGAGTGGCACAGAGACTACCACTTGAGCGGAATCTTCTTCACTGGTCGTCTCGGCCCTGGCAGAGTCAACCTCAAACTGCAACGATGCCTGATCCGTGGTATTCGTGGCGACTTGACTGCCAATCCCCAACATGGTTTCCAACTTGTGCTCAATGCCAATCACCCCTTCCACATCCGAGCATTGCGCCAAAGACACGGCATGACGGGCCAGAAAGGTAGCATAAGCTCTCAATCTCGAGTTCATGAGTGTGGCAAAGGACTTGCCAAAGTTGTTCAACATGAATTGAGGGATCGCGTGGAGGTGCTCTACAAAGAACTCATCCAGACTGTCGCTCACTTCGGGCTCCTCCGGCTGCTGACCCAGCAAGATAGGTCTGGAGAGGAGCGACTCGACGTGGGATTCTACATCTCCTTTGCTAGAAAAGATACCGATATGGTGGTTCCCAGTTGTTTCCTCCAAGGATAAGGAGGGAAAGGACGAAAAGTCACAATCGTCGTCATCTTCCCGACTGAGAAGCAAAGGAACAGCATTTGCCGCTTTGGCACTGGGTGCGCTCAACTCTGCGGCAAGCTCTGCCAAGACTTGGACTTTGGGGCAGGTCATGGTCGGTGGAGGCAAACTAGTACCGGTAGCTAGCTGGAGTGGCCCGAAAAAATAAGAATGCTTGTTGTAAAAGTGTCAAAGAAAAAAGAAGTGAAGGGGACGGTGTGGTGTGTTGATTGCGCTTTGGGTTTGCCGGTCTTTGGACAAGCCAACTGCCACAGCAACATGATGGGTTATGCCGGGAGAGAATGACATTGATAATTTCAACAGTTCCTCACGAGGTTCTCACAAGGGCGAAAGCTTGCGAGAACCCAGGTCAAGATCACCCGAACATGCGATGCCTGTTGGTTGACACGATGTCAGCAGGTTTTGAGAACTTTGATTGCCAGCGACGTTGAGCTGTATCTTTGTCCAACGCGGACTACAACGAAGGCTTGAGTGCATAATATGCATCGTAGGTGAAAGGGTATTCGCGGACTTGAAGGCATTCTGATTTCTACATTTAATGCTTCTGCTTTATGATTGGCCAGCTTTCAATGTTCGATAATGATTAACAAGTGCAATCTCTTCTAATTCAAAAAGCCATGGATCAGAGCCATTTCCAAATGAATCAACATATTATAAAGACTAATACCATGCAAATTTGCTTTATACAACTATGCAAAACAGTAGAGACCAAGCATGTTATAGAACGACTTATAAAAGAATTTCATTTCTAGTTTCCACGCCATACGCAGATACTCAGTACTGCTAGTAACCCATTTTCTTGTAGAAAGCCTCTTGTTCAGCTCTTGTTCTATGAGAAGAGGCCCTTTGAAAAGAATGTTCTTGTGGTTGCCTCGTGTTCGTCGGCTGGAGAACTTATAAATCAAGCAAACGTTGCTCAAGATCCTGTTGCCGCTGACGTTTGCGTTATGACACTGTCCCGTCACGTTGTTTTGCTTTGGATCTTGTTTCTTCAACCACGTAAGCATGACTCCTTCACGCATGGCCTTCCAATATTAAAACGGCAGAGCGGACAACAGTTGAGGTCAACTCAGAAGTTAATCTACTAGCTAGGTGAAAAGATTATAACCAGAATGATCCACTTTGTTCATGTGAGTACACATATCGATAGTAAGAGCTCCAGGGGCATCGATGCAATAACCTGTTTATTGGGTGGTAAAGAGGGAAGTATTTAACTTTTCAACAAGCAGTCTTTTTGTTCGCTCGGTCATTACTTACTTGAGACAGAGAAGGGTTAAAAAGGGATTCCATTAAATAATCACTTGGCGATTCGATTGAACTCGGAGAAGTCGGAGAAACGTCAACAGATTTACCGCGTTAACTGAAAATGCAGGGCTTACCGGTAGTTTGATTTGTGGTGTTGGAAACGGCCAAAGCGAAGCTTCACCTTGCATTCTTGCTTGCCTCCATTGTAATCATACGTTGGCAACTCTCTGGCATACCAGGTACCGTACTCCACATCACAGGAACCTGGTGCGTGATGGATCGCAGACATCGCTTGTGGTTTTGAAGGTCTTTTTATAATCTCCATGCAATACCTTGCAGTAAAACTTTTGCTGAATGATGTCACCGTTGGCAGCAGCAGTTCTTGGCAGCAGTTCAGTTTGTGGGTTCTGATGAAGAAGGCACCAAGTCAAATCCCTGCAGCCAAACTAGCTAGCTACACAGCATCTTTAAAAATTCATATGCTATTCTATGACTGTCACTCACTCGATTCTATCTGTTGAGGTTTGAAGAGGTTTAAGAAGCAAACCATTACAACATGTTCAAGAGATAGATGATGTTCTTCTAATTCAACTCCAGGCTGGGTCACATTGATGGGTTCTCATGTAACCCTTCTTAATCCAGCAGCTTCTGGCTGGAGAAGGATTGATGCTCGAAGTGATCCATGCGATTCTCAACCAAGGCTTTTCACTTGTTACTGTCGGTGGTTACTGTACCAGCCTTCGCGGACTGAAGACTCTAGCTAGAGCTAGAAGTAAGTCTATTAACAGTACCGGTAGCGGTATTCAGAGCATATTTCTCGCTTTCATTCAATTACTTCTCATTTTCAAACGCACGGTATTATGTTCCTGGGGCGAAAAAGCATTGCAGCGAGGGTAACAAGTCAAAATTGTCTGCGAAGCCACCACCGCAGAGGCAGAGAACAGAGTCTAATGTGTCGATGGGGTAACATAAGCACAGGTTTATATTAGAGCAATATTTTTGTTTTAGTCAATGTTTACCTGAACTACCCATTCAATGGTTCCAAAGGTGGCCGCCACTCAGCCGCTACGACTGTACTGTAGCAACCCAAAAGAGCACCAGAAGAAACACAAGCAAGCTCTAAACCTCATTACAACATCTGATCGACTCAAGTGAACACAAGCACCGCAACATGGACAGGCATCAAGAGGATCCATCGATGGTCCTTGAGGAGAATGAGTTGAGATGGGCGTACGATATCAAGGAGGCGATTGACGACTCGACGCACCTTGCACCAGTCTCGGACTTGGAGTGTGTGCAGTGGGCCATCGCGACAGTGGACCAACAGAATTTGGACGAAGTGTTGGACAAAGTGCACAAGCTCCAGTGCTTTCGAGAGCAGTACAGCTTTGAAAATGTCCGAGCAGGCAGTTCTCCCAATGCCATTGATCGATGCGTCAAGGAGGGAGTGGAGCTGCTGAGCGGGTACGTCAGAGATCAGCAACCCGGCCATTTGGTGACAATCGATCACATGGCCAGCCAAGGGCACTACTTGATCGTCTGGGATCGAGCCAAGTTCAGTCCTTCCAAGGTTCGGTCCGAAGCAGACTGGAGAATCTATCAGGGATGCACGTACAACATTTTCATGATTTTGAATTCCAACGTTCGAGCCATTCGAGAGGGCATTGCCGTCATTCTAGAATGCGAGGGAATGGGCTACCTGAACTACGACAATCAGTTCGAGGAGCGACGCGTCACTGAACTATTCAATTACTATCCCTTCAAAACACAGGAGTTCTTCTTTCTACACACTCCAACAGTGGCCATTTTTCTCTGGAAGGCTGTCAACCGATTCCTCACGGACAAATTCAAAAAATCGGTCAAATTGGACGCCACCGTGGATGGCCTAGACGGAAAGCGCATTGATTCTTTGTTCAACATGCCAACCTTTGAAGATGCCCAAGATAGGTTACTGATACGATTAGAAGAGTACTTACGAGAAAGGTTGGAGCATCAGGTGCATTACAAAATGCCACCCAAACCTCCACCGGTGGCCGAAGACGACGAGGCTGCGGAGGTGGCTGCCAATGGTCCCATAGACGATTTTGCAGCCGCCATGGCATCCGAATTCGATGACTTGGAGGAAGAAGAAGAAGACGAGGAACTAGCGCTTCCAGAAGACTTGTCTGTGCCAATGCAAGAAACAATGGTCCAAGATTATGAGGAGGAAAAGAAGTACGAACTGCCGGCACAAGCTACTGGTGCCAAGGACTTTGTCGATGGCACCGCTGGTGGCGCGCCGATCAACGATTTCGCAGCTGCCATGGCAGCGGAATTCGAAGACGAGTTGGCGGATTGCGAAGAGGACGATGAGTTGGAAGAGGAACCGATACCCAAAGGTCCCCCAAATGACGGAGTTGCTGCAGACGCTGGACAACAGGACGAATTTGCAGCGGCAATGGCAGCCGAGTTCGCGGCCGAGTTTGGCGAGGAATTTGATGAAGACGATGACGACTTGTAGGCATGCCTCATGATGTTGTCTTCCTGTCCGCCGACCAAACGTGCGTGCGTGCGTGCATTCAGGAGCAATGCGAAGTGTGTGTTTTGGTTTCGTGAATCCCACGGACCGGCGGATGCTGTCATCCCCACAACATATGGGGCATACTAAGACTCTGCTGGGTATGTCAGAACGGTTCCATGCCTTCGACCACCCAGTGTCTGTCCATTGGCAAGTCGTCGCGACACGTGAGCTGTGGGTTTGTCGCGTTTGCAGGCCGGGGCGCCGTACCTAGCCGGTGAACCACGTTGAGGTGCTGGCCCTGATTGTGTCCAAATGCTGCTCCGAGAAAGAGTCTCCATCGGCACGCACATGGGAAACGCTGTACTATTATTAGTGAGCTCTGCACGTCGTCCACAGTACCGCAGTATTGTTCTAAAGATTGTAAGCCCTCAATCAAGTTCTACCGTATTTGTTTGAGATTGAAGATCATCATGTCTCGAATCTTAAAGGTTGCAGTACGTGGCCGTCCTGGTAGCTTCTTCTCTCTTCGTCATCGTGCCTTTTGCATGACGAAGCAAGTTTCAATCGTTCCTAAATGAAAAAGCTTGCTTCACACGGCTCGATTGTGCGAGCAAGCGACGGTGTGTGGTATGAAATACTCGTACCGTAACAGCAAGAACCACCGTGCTTTGACAGCTAGCACGCCATATTCTTTCCTTTGTCCGGGGCTGGCTTGTGCATCATTGGCACGTACCGGTAAGGCGAGAGAAATAATGTCTCTTCCTTTCTTGAACGAGGCCTAGATTGTTGGATACCTGGGTTGGCCATTTCTCTACGTAGGCAGTATCCGGTACGCCCAAGAAATGGGGGCAGCCACAGAGCGCTCTACGTGTTTCTAAATCGGCATGACTCCGGTCGTCTTTTTGGGCTAGTCGCGCCGCTGTACTGATCCAAACTCCTCTCATTTTCGACTACCAGAAAGTGACTATATCTTAGTTGCTGCCTTTCGTTCCTTCAAGGTATTCGATGGCGCAAAAATTTCATCAGAAGAGAGAACAATCAGAGTTTAAAATACTCCACAAGCTTTTTTGTTTTTGTTTCTTTTGTTTGCCTGTGCCGTTCAGGTACCAATTTCAATTTATTCATCCACACATCCACTTGTATTTTCATCCTGCCTATATAAATACCATATGCAGCCCTATCCATCAATCATCCATCCAATTTTCCAATCATTTTTCCTACTCTAGACATCCGCATCACATCACAACATCCACAAAAAAGATCCATCGCAGCAAGCCATCCCATTTCTTCTCTATTTTTCGTTTTCGTTTTTTCAAATGGATTGTTGACTGCGTGTTTTTTCTTTTTCTTGCACAATACTATTATGATGCCGCCTCTTCTTCTTCTGGCACGGCTCCGACTTCATTCTTGTCTTTGCTCTTCTGTCGCGAATACCGCGCCATTCGACCCATGGCCGCCATGTCATCGGCCGACTTGGTCCTGGCGGGTGCTCGTCTTCCTCCTCGTCGCGGAGCTCGTTCTTCATTTCCATCTCCTCCTCCTTCGCTCGATCCTTGACTCTTTCTCATTTGAGCCAGAGATCCGGAATCGTCCACGGACTTGCTACGGGGCGGAGGCCGACGGCGCCTGGGAGCCGATTCTGCTTGTTCCAGGGGCTCTTCTTCTTCTTCCTCCTCCTCCACTTCGTCCTCTGTCGACATGATGTTGCTGGTTATGGTGTAATACAATACAAGTGGAAGCTAGCTAACCTATGAGCTAGTAGTTGGCTAGCCAGTAGTAGTGGATCGTGACCAGTACTCTTGTCTTCTTTGCTTGGAATGGATGATGGTTTGTTGCCAGCCTTCTCCGTCCTCTCCACACAGAAGCTCACAGAGTTGGAGTTGGAGCGAAAAGAAAAGAGACGCTTGGAAACCCTTCGTGCCTGCAGAAGATTTCAAGGGTCATTTACAATGACTCTTGTGCCTGGTTCATTTATGGCCGCAACCGCCCAAATCCGACCAGTCCGGCTCGGTATCTCAGCCCCGTCACATTTTGATGAAAAATCCTCGCTTTCCCACAGGCTGGCAACCAACTGTCATCGTCGACAACATCAACGACTATTATACACCGGTATGTAAAATCAATTGAGAACACAACTCCAGCTGGCCGCTACGCAAAGACATCATCTCCACAGAAAATAGTGTTCGAAAATCAACCAATTAATCAGCCATGACAAACAAACTAAGGCTGGTGAAACGAGTTTATGGTCGCTACTTCCCAGTTGGCGAAGAGCAGCACAACAACTCATCATCATCGACCCAGATGAAAAATTACGAGGAGAGTTCGAAAAAGCGCACCAGAGCTGATGACTCTATCACGACAACTTCCAATATGATTATCATGGATAATGACATTATTTCGTTGGAGGAACCCTGCAGCTGTCTACCAGTTACCGTGTTATCCGAAGATAACAATGGTGACATGGTCGAAACAAAGCTGCAAAAGCAAATATCCGACTCTGGAGTAATGATCGTAGAAAGTAACAACTCGTCAGGAACCCAGAGTGATAGTCTCTCGGCGGAAGATATATGGTTCGAAGAAGGCGAGACAGCCAGGGATTTGGAAAACGGAAACAGCACCGTAATGGAAAAAGTACAAGAATTAGGAGACACTGCTTTGGAGGAAAATCCATTTGCTCCAAGACCTGGAAAGACACTGTTGTGGACCAACGTCAACATGACTATGGTAGGTTTTCAACGCACCTCTTATGATGCCATTGTATCGTTGTGGAACGCACCTCTTTCTTACTTCTAATTATAAATCAGTCAAGTTACGGAGGAGGTGGCGAGCGAAAGATATTAGACAACGTCTGGGGTGAAGTCCCTCGAAAAGAAATCACTGCTATCATGGGGTAAGTTTGATTGGTTGGTGGTCAACCAAAATGTGGAGAACCTAATCGAACAGCTACCAAACATTTCTTGATCTTTGTCATCTACTACTAGACCCTCTGGGGCAGGCAAGACTTCGTTACTGAACGTCTTGGCAGGAAGGGCGGCACCCAGAGGTCCACTCAAGATTACAGCTGATGTTAGACTGGATAACTACGCGGTGAATCCACGAAGCATGAAAATCCGAAAGCTCATTGCCTTTGTGGCACAAGACGACTCATTGCAAGCCACAGCGACTCCTCGGGAATCCATTGCGTTTTCGGCCCGACTGCGGCTACCGAGATCGACCACGGACCGAAACATTCAAAAACTGACAGATCGAATGCTCGCAGAGCTAGGTAAGCCGAGTCGAGCAGAGCAAAACGCGAAGCGATTGCTCCAGAAGAGCATGTCTTCCGAGAGTGTTTCAGCTTTCTAACCTGCCACGTCGTACATTCATGCAAATCAACTAAACCAGGTCTGGCGAAATGTGCTGATACAGTCATTGGGGGAATGATGGTGAAGGGTTTGTCAGGGGGTGAACGGAAACGTACAAGCGTCGGTGTGGAACTGGTCACCAAGCCCGACCTAGTCTGTCTTGACGAACCAACGTCGGTAAGTGCTTCGGTTTGTTCAACTTTTTATCACAGGCAGTGGCGTGCACTCACCTACCCAATCAATAATAAATCCAGGGACTCGATAGTTTCAGCGCAGTGCAACTTTGCCAGGTGCTCAAGAAAGTCACCCAGGCCGGAAGTGGAGTCTTGATGAGTATTCATCAACCTGCAAGTGACATCTTTTGCTCGTTTGGCCATTTGATCATCTTGAACGAGGGACGTGTCATGTACCAGGGGTCCGTCGCAAATGTCCCAACGTTCTTTGCTCAGCGGGGACATCCTTGTCCTCCGCACTTCAATCCAGCAGATTGGATCATGAATCGAGCCAAAATGATTTCTACTACCGAACTTTGCAAAGCCGGATTCTATCCCGAGGATGAGCGAATCCTGAAAGATCCAAAGGAACTGAATGCGGCAGGGACACGGTCCCTCTTCGGGAAAAGAAGAGTGATTGCTTGGAGCAGCAAGACCGCCAGTAAGGCCACTCAAATCCGCTTGCTGTTCCGTAGGGAAGTGATCAACTTGACGCGCGACAAGATAGCAATGGCAGGTCGCCTTGGATTCTCAACACTTCTCAGTCTAATGATGGGGGCAATCTTTTGGGACGTTGGCAATTCCGATTCAGCCAACATTGCGGTAGGTGTTCGGGGGCAGCTCTTTCCATTTGCCCTGAATTGTTCAGTTCGCAACTCTCACGCGACTTTTTCTTGCGCTCGAAGGGTCTTCAAGGCCATTTTGGAGGGCTCGTGTTATCACTCGTTCTTTCCATGATCGGAACTGCCCAGCCGTCTCTCCTGGCCTTCCCTCTCGAACGCCCCGTCTTCGTCAGAGAATACTCTACCAACCACTACTCAGTTCTGGCATACTTTACTAGTCGGTTTCTTGTAGAGGCTACGGTGACAGCGGTTCAAGTTCTCAAAATCGTAAGCACCCCTAGGCGAATATGGAATTGAATCAGCTCCCGCCAAGGCTCACAGGCGCTTCTGTTGTTCTCGTGCTTACCGCAGTCTGCCATGACATACTACATGATGGGGTTCAACTTGAGTTTTGGAACTTATTGCCTCACATCCTATGCACTTGCCATGTCTAGCACCGCTCTCGCAGTTGCTTTTGGATGTGCCATTGAAGATCCCAAACTAGGAATGGAAATGTTTCCGCTTCTCTTTATTCCTCAGCTCCTGTTTTCTGGGTTCTTTGTCATCCCTTCCATGATCCCAAGTTGGATCCGGTGGCAAAGATACATCTTCCCGTTGACTTATGGCCTTCAAATTGCCATGTTGGAGGAATTTGATGATTGTGGTTCGCCAGCAGGGCGTGCCAATTGCCGTCTTCTCATCGAAAGCATAGAAGCCGACGCCGACCAGGTGTGCTTGTATTGGATTCTTCTAGTTGTTTTGTTCATTGTGTTCCGTGTATTGGCTTTGGCCATGCTGCGCAAGAAGGCGACGAAATTCTTCTGAGCCAGAGGGCTAACAAACAACATTCACCCTTCAGTAAGCTAAACACTGCAACTTGTTGTAGCTATTTCACTGGGCTGTACTTGGCTTGTCGACTCCACAGAGATTGACCAATGAAAGAATGGACGAAAGGCCCTACGTTGGGGCTTTGAGAATCGGGACTTCAATTGGTGGCTCGAGCAGGTCTCTCGAGCAGGTTCGAAAATTTGCTCTTACACATGCAGTTTGATTCTGTTCCAAGATGCCAAAGTATTGTGGGTGCCCTTGCAAGGAAAATGCTTTTTTGAGACGCTAGGCGCAGATTTTTCCTCGTCTATGTACGGCTATCGTTGATTGGATTGGTAGCCAAAGTAGCAAACCAAGAGCTGGAATGCCGCATAAAATATTGTAAAGAGTGCCACAAACATAAAGTGTGGAGCGTAGATATCCCACACCATTAGGTGACGCCTCAGTACGCTCACTGAAATACTCGAACATAGAGTCTCAATCAGCTGGTAGAGACAATACCATCTCCAGGGATCGGTTCGTCGGGGAAAACCAGACATCTTGGCTGTATGCATAGCATTAGAAGAAACTAGCCAGGCAAAGCAGAGACCCATGATTTCCCAGCCAAATGTATTGATGAACAAAGACAATCCAGCAAACGCAAAATTGAAGACGCTAGTTGCCACAAAAGCTGAAGACAGTTGCAACCTGGCAAAGCTGCAACCATGATTGGTAGCAAAGAAGACGTGGCGAATGATGAACCTCCAAAGTGCAGCCAAGACTGCAGATGGGATCTTGAGCAGCAGAATGATTTCAACGATAATAGACTTGTCAGGCATAGTTTCACTACCAAGTTGGAAAGGAAAGCAACGATACAAAGTTCTTACCATGGAAGGCCCTGTCATGCCAGAAAGAAGAAAGACTGCCGCGGCCTGGGCCGAGAAGAGCAATGCCGATGTCGCAGACGATGGACCGGTCACGATCATCACGAGAAGCAGTAGTTTGAAGATGATGGTCACGGCATCCCCGGGAGGCAGAGAGAGTGTCGTGGGAGGTTTGTTCCGCAGCTGTTCCTGGTATTGTTGGTTTTGTCGCTCGTGGACCGTAGTCAATGCCTGATAGATGGACCAGGGCAAACTCAGTAGGACCAAGGCAATGGCGCAACGAGCTCCTGCAAATCCGTGGCGATCTGACTCGGGTTGTCTTTTCTCCCACCATGCCTGTGCCAAGAAAGCCAACGTGGCAAGATCTAGTGCCATGTGCTGTCGCGAGCGAGTGAATTGGAGTCCATCACAGAGGTACCACCGACCGGCCATGAGCAGTACGACACTGGAAAGGAACATCATGGGATGGTGCGCTGTGTGGGCCCGTGTCGAAGGATCTTGTCCATGGCCAGTGACAAAGAGTTCGCCCAGACGAGATGCCACCGGGATGACAAGCGGAGCGTATCGTTTGACGTAGGATGTGGTTGCATTATTGCTTTGAGTAGCGGCAGCTGACCTCGCTGCCAACACGAACCCCAAGATCCCAATCATGTACATGCAGACGTGTTCCTCTTCCAGAATGTAACTGTTTCCAAAAGTCAACATTCCACAAAAGAAGACGACAAACAGTGCTGTCAATAAGAGTTCCCACAGCTGCCCTGGCATTGGAATGGACCACACTGATGATGGATCTCCTTCGTTTGTTGTTGTTTGTAGAAAGAAGGGCACAATCCACAGAATGACAGAAACAAAAAGGACAACAATCCCAATTGTCATACCCGTGGTATCAAATCGGGTCCACACCCGTTGTCCTAACTGTAGTGCCTCCAATAAGAATAATTTGAAGAGACTACACGCTTTCAACGTCGCCGTGGAGTCTTCCCCGGTTGCCAATGCCTCTTTCCACACCGTCACGGCATGCAGAAGCCGTTCCTCCAGTTCGTCCAAACCGGGAAGTTGATTGGCGGTTCGTGAATACTCGGTAAAGTACCTCCACACTTGCGCCGCATTCAACGCCAATGCCACGGCGGTCTGCGATGCCGTGGAAAAGAGGGAGAGAGCCGGTACCAGTGCTCCCAAATTGGCATAGGGAATGGGCATTCCCAGGAGCAAGGATATGGTCGGCACGAGATCAATTTGATGGATACTGGTAAAGGCGGTTTGCGCATCGTGGCTGGGCGAAGCGTTGTCATCCAACAAAAGGTCCGTCATGACGCCACACGCCGGGGAAAAGTGGGCAAAGAGTGCCGCATTGATTTCTTCTTCGCTTCCCCCACCGTGATTGCCATCTTCGGTCATGCCGTGATCTCCAAAGATGAACGCCACGGAACACGAATCTTGTTGATGATCCAACTTTTCCAGCAACTCCAGCAATGCCGCGTCCATTTGTTGGAGTTTGGCATCCATGTGTTCATCATGCGGTCCATACGTATGTCCGACATGATCGACTCCCAAAAAGTGCACAATCAAGACTTCTTGTGCCTTGTTGTTGGTAGATGTTCTCTGTTGGGCCAACAAATCGGGAATGTGCTGGAGGCATCCATTGTCTACCGTGTCCAAATCTCGTGTATTGAACGATGGATAGGGATAGGCTTCATCGAGAGAGTGTGGGAACAAGTCCAACCACGTATCATCTCCCACAAAGGCAATCCGTGGTTTGACGGACAAGTGTCGTTTCGCAAAGGGTGTCGTTTGGATTTGTTGAATCCATGTATCTTCTTCTACGGATGCCCCTCCCATGTTGCCCGAAATGTCGGCAAATGTGGGCAGACCTCCCGTCGTCAAGGCTTTGAGTCGTTGCATGGTGACCGTCGGTGGATCTGCGACAAATTGGAGGAGTCGCGAGGAATTACCAGCGCCATTGCCAAGTCGTGCTCCCACGGACCGTGGCAAATGATGCAAAGCAAAATCAAATCGCAAGGCGTCAATGACAATGACGACCATGGAATCGACACGACGTTCCATCCAACATCCTTGGAGTAATTTGGCGTCCCGCAATTTTTGCGTCTCACTGGAGGACAATCCCAAGGTAGATTCCAGCAACTGGGACGCTTCGTCACACTCGGATTTGTGCGGCAACGATCGTTTGGCCAAAAAGAAGGACGTAATAAAAATGTACAGGCCAAGGAGCGTTACCAAAGGAGCCAGTACATCTAACAGTAGTGGTCGTCGTTGTCTGCTTGGATGATGCTGTTGCTGTGTAGTAGTAGTAGAAGTCATGGTGGAGTTGCCTTGAAACAGTGAGAATGTTGCCTTCGGGTGGTTGATGGTTGCCGAAGATTCGCCACCGTAGAAGACGAAAAGACAGAGATTGACAGCGCCTGTCCACACGATTGACAGCTCAGCTGGTTTTCGAAAGATCCCTGGATCATTTTTTCTGCGTCCCCTTCTGCCATCAGGAACAAAATTCTTGTTACCGACAATTCGGTATCCTTGTCTTAAAACCTTCAAGATCAGTTGGTAGTGCTTGGCTTCCATATACCTGCAAGATAGACCATGTCCTCTTCGTCATCATCCATAGTCAGCACTACTACATCTGTCGTCGCGGTGGTTTCGACAACTCTTTTGGTCTATTTGCAGTGGAGGAATGCACCCGAATGGATAAAACAGGGATTGTGGTCCAACAGTAGCAGCGATTCAGATGGTGCCAACACCAGGAACGATGATCTCCTGGACAAGGATGCCAATGATGATCTAGCGTCACTGCCAGCCGTCATGGACAAGTTGAAACAAATGTACAATTTGGTGTCGGCTGTCAGCGATGATGTGGAACAGAGTAATTGGATGGGAGATTGGCAATTGATGGCCGCGTTTTATTCGCTGCTACATCTGAATACCGAGCTTCTCGCCAAAGACCCAGATTATCGAGACAAACTCTACGACGACCATCATCACGACGACGATGTCGAATTGGAGGAAGTCCTGGAATTGGCCAAGTACTTGGATTACGCGCAATGGGCCTATCTTTCTTCGCACACGGAACTTTCCAAAAACTGTCGCCACGCGGGATTGGATCTCATGACGCATGATACGGCCACCGAACCAGGACGGGTCGCCCACTACATTGCGCTGCAACATTCCCAAAAGTTGGCCATTATTGGGCTCAAGGGAACCAATACGTTTTCCGATATCATGACGGATCTCATTGCCCTTCCCAAAAAACACGCGGGATGCCATTTCGACAATGGCGCCTTTGCCAAACCCAAGAGTGGTGATAAAGATCCCGTCAATGAGGTCTATTGTCATGAGGGGATCTTTACAGCCGCCATTTGGATGGCGGATGCCGTCCAACCAATGATTGAGAACATGCTGGTGCCCCTCAACTACAAAGTCATTATTTGTGGGCATTCCTTGGGAGCGGGGACAGGTATGTACTTTATACTTTTGGATTTTATTGTATTGCAAGACTGGTGCTGCTAATGTCTTACTGGTTTACTATATGACGGTACTTGTCACTCCTTCCATCGCATGCAATCATATTATTATGTTATGTAGCCTGTTTGCTGGGATTGGAGCTTCGTTCGAGGATTGCCGCCTTTCGCGAGAATACCACAGATTTGAGAGTCTTGGCGTTTGCCACTCCACCCGTCATCTCGTACAAGGCCGCCAGAGCCTGCGAGCCGTTCGTGACATCGGTCGTCAACAATACCGATGTCGTATGCCGTTGTTCCGTCTCCAACTTGATCATCATGTACAAACTTTTAAACGAGGTGACTGCCAGGCTCAATGCCAAGGGTTTGACATTGGATTCCTGGACATCCATACAAAACTACTACAAAGAACACTCGGTGGTGGACGATGATCTACTCATGACAGAGGAGGAACTGGATACGTTTTTTGAAGAAACTCACGCCGATCCAGAAAAGGACGATCAAGCGCTCTATGTTCCTGGGCGATGTGTAGTGATGTGGGACAAAGGTGAGAACGATGACTTTGCCATGGGAGGGATAGTCACGGACGGTGGTATGAAGATGCTGCGACAAGTGGAATTGGCTCTAAGCTTCATCACGGATCACATTGTTCCGTCGTATCGCACGAGCTTGCAAAAGCTAATCCAACAAAAGGAGAACACAATATAGATAACCAGGGCAGGATAGCACTGGTGCCAAGGTTCCAGCCCAGCGACGTCGCAAACTATCGTCGAAAAACTTTCAGCTGGAATGCGAAAGCTCATAACCCCCTTTTTACTAAAGCCAAAGAAAGATCTTTTTATGGATCTTGCGTTGCCACCACTCACTTTCCTACTGTAATTTTGCACATCATTTTTAAAACTTCTAAGATCCTGTTATCTTTTCCAAACCTCACCATGACAGCGGCATGATCATCGCCCATCTTCCCAGCAGCCGTCGCCTCTTGACCTCTTCAGTGCGACTCTGTGGTCTAGCAGCCGCAGCAGGGTGCTGGAGAAAAGATCTTCCGAGTGCCGCAAGTCGACAAGGCTTGGCTGCCTGCAGAGCCATGAGCAGTGCCAATGAAGCACCTCCGGACAACTTGGTCAACTTTGGCTGTGGACATCCGGATTATGCCCTGTTGCCCGTCGATGAGATTGCCAGTGCCACGCAACAAGCTCTACTGGACGATCCAAACGGTCGCAAGTGGCTTCAATATGGTCGCGAGAATGGAAATTATCCGGCGAGAGCGGCCATTGCAGAATTCTTGACGAATCTGTATCACACGGACAGCACGAGCCATGCGATCGACCCAGAGACCCTGTTTGTGACGAGTGGTGTGTCTCATGGTATCCAGTTAACTTGTCGTACGTTGGATCGAGTCCATCGACAACGACAACAAGAAGATGCCAATGAAGCTCCTTTGTGTTGGGTCGAGGATCCTACCTATTTTCTCGTTCCACCGATTTTTGAGCAAGCAGGATACGAATTGGAGGCAGTGCGTACAAGTCCAGACAATGGTTTAGATTTGTCGGATTTGGAGACGAAAATTCGAGCAGCTCGTACGGCATCTCCTGATCGCTTGCTGGTGCTATATTGCATACCGATTCATCACAACCCACTGGGAGTTTCGTTATCGGAAGAAACGCGAACCCAACTGATCCATCTGTGCAAAGCAAATGAAGTCTACCTCATTGCGGATGAAGTCTACCACGGATTGGGCTTTCCTGGAACCACTTCTTCTCCCACGGCCATGGCTATGCGAGGTTCTTCGCCGTACATCGTCTCTGTATCCGCCTTTACCAAACTCTTGTGCCCTGGCATTCGCTGTGGTTGGATTCAAACGAGCAACCGTGACTTGCTACATCAGATTGGACAAGAAGGTGTGCTGGATAGTGGAGGATGTTCGAGTCAATTATCCTCGGGAATTGTTCGACAACTGATCCAAAATGGCAAGCTTGATTCCTATTTGGCAGCCCTACAGGCGGAGTATGCCAAGCGATGTCAGCATTTGTGTCAACTGTTACAGGATGTATCGGAAGGGTCGGAATATCCCTTTCAATTCGACTTTGCAGTGCCCCAAGGTGGCTACTTCTTGTAGGTCCGTATCATCAAAGGTGCTCCACCCCACTTTGCCATGGATGAAGCTTTTCGGTCCTTCTGTCAAACGAAACATGATGTTGACTTTAAAACAGGAATGTCCTGTTCGTCCTACCGCATTGAGACATCATCAAATGGCAATCCATTCTCTCCATGTTTTCGGCTTTGTTTTGCCTACTATGATATTCCAGCGTTGACTCTGGGAGTGCAAAGATTGTGCAAGGCAATTCAAGAATACTCGCCGTCGTCGTCGTCATTGTGATGCAACCTGTGAGACATTGATGGAGAACCAACAAGCTTCCTTCAAGCGCTCGAGTGCAAAGCGAAGGCAGATGGCAGTCAATATGTGAGTCAATACAGTGTACCCGTTCAAAGCGTATCGTTGTTCTGTGTGGTGTTGGAATCGGTGTGTTGGCGTGATGAGCGAGGGAATGAAGAGTCATACACTTGGTCCGTGTTATCGATCCGCCCCCCTTTATGGTTGTGTGGCGATGAAATCAACTCAAGTGATCGGACCCTCTGTGTCTTTGTTTGTTTTTGTTTGTGCTGCTGCATTTTGTGTCGATCAATGAGGATTTTGGTAGGTCTTCTTTCACCTTATTCCTTTCGGGGAAGATGCCGGTCAATTACCAAATTCGCTGATTAGATAGATTGTCTGAGATCGACACGACCATGTTTTCAAACTTTTCGCATGCTGTGCACCATGTTGCTTCTTGTCATCACACTAATCTATCAATCTCTCCATCTGTTAGGTTTTGCAGTGGCTTTGCAATGACCCTGAGCTTCTTCGTCAGTCTACACGTCTACACAACAAGCTAGGTACCGGTACACAGATGCTAATCGTATCTATAGGGACATCATGATTACAATACAACACTCCTTTGAGGGGAGAAGTGACATTCCTTCTCTCAGATATCAGCAAATCGAGTCAACGAGGGTGCATGCGGGCACATGCGGGCACCGGGTTGACTCAACCCTCGCCTGTTGTCGCTGCTCCTTCCACTCTTTGTGGTTTTGCGACGACGACGTCTCTTCTCCCTTCCTTCACTTCGATTCCTTGGCGGTGAAATCTTGGTTGCCCGAGTCGCTTTGCCCCTCGAATCCTTTCGCTGTTGTTCCTTCTGTGGATGTTGCGATCGTGGAGCTCCCTGGTGCAAGGTACCGCTTTCATTCATACCAGTACACCTCAATGGTTGTTCCGAACCGAGTTTGACCGGATTCTTGCAGACAATCTCTTTCATGGGAGGAGCAACGGGGTCCGCTGCCACCTTAGCGGCCGCCGCAGCTTCTTGTTGGCGTCTCCAGGTTTCAGGGTGGATAAGCTCATCGTTTTGATTCAGGATGAAGACGTCCTCCTCCAATGCCAGTTCAGGATGGCATCCTTCGGACATGTACTCATGCTTACCGCGTTCCGCAATCTCGGCTACCTCATCGATGCTCATCCACAGGGAGCGTTGGATCGAGATAGGATAATCATCGTACCTCGGAATTTCAAGCACATTCGTCATCTGGTGAAATGTTACCGCTGAGCGTCGGCCCTCCAGGTCGCAGTGAGCAGTTTCCTCCATGAGTTCTTTGTTCGGGGAACCGGTAATACAGTTTGGGTCACTGATCACATTGTCTACTTGATAAACGCACGAGGGTTCTTGAATAGGTTCTTCGTAGGAGACCGGTTTGAGGGAAGCGAAAGCCATTCCCAATGCAATTTCATCCTCCGCACTGGACGCAGAGTACGTATCATCGCACGAAGAAGCCGCCATACCAGGAACGGTGCTTCCACCACCGCTGCAGCAAGCATCGTCATAATCATCCTTGTCACATTGGACATCTTCTACCGGTACTTTAGAAGGGAACGGCGAATCATAAAAGAAAATCGCCAATTCCTCTATTAACTTGGAGGGATTTTGCAGGGTTGCTGATTTGGATCTTCCCGATAGGGCCTGTCTTACGGCAAATGCTGTTATCATTTTCTAGCTGCCCAGCCAATTGCTAGCTGGTAGAGGTCCGAGATCAATTGAAAGCAGCAGAGTGCTGTTTTGTGTGACATTGTGGCTTGTGGTAGCAGCTCTCCCGGAGTCGTCGTGTGGTAGCAATGGGGAACAGTTTTGTGAGTTGGTGGTTCCGCAAAAACCCCACTTCTGGCGACCATGCCTGTACACGACTGTTGGGGAACAAGTCTCACAACACATACGGTAGTTACCTTCCGAGAGGGTCTCCCACGGTAGAAGTTTACCGTACGACTGTACCAGTACTGTAGTGCCTGGAAAGGGTGGCAAAAGTTAAATTAGGCGATTGAAAACTGTTGAATTTGCCTTTTAGAATCCACTTTTTCAACACTGTTATTTCTAAACTGTTAAAAAACTGTTGAAAATGGTGTGGAAACTATTCAAAACACAATCATACTCTGAGGCGAGGTCCTACATGTATCCATTCTCCATGTGTGTCCTCCGTGCATTCGCGAAACACATTTATTTTCGTCGATTTATTTAGTTGTACGAATCAAGATTTTATTCCTATCCACATACAGTGGTTCGCACGCACGCGAACACGAACCACCTCGAATCCCCAACTCTAACAAAATCAAAAATCGAAAAGTGAGAGATCTCGAGATCGCTGTCATCATCAGTATAGTAAAAGTGAGAACACAGTAACTCTACCACCGTGGTTGCTAGCACCGTCGTTGTCGTGTAGTTACTCTGCCATAATGGACTTCAATGATGAGGAATACGAACAAGATGTGGCGTTGCTTCTGCACTATCTATTCTTATGGTTGGTCTTCTACTGTGTCTACCGGGCGAATCCAGGAATCCTTCCTTTTTCGAGCAACGGTTGCATTGGGATCGGTATTGCCAGAAACACCAGAACCGTGGACCTTTGCTAGACGACTTCGGATGCGCAGAGAAAGCTTTGATAAGCTGCTTTCGTTTGTAGTCGACGACCTGCTTGTTAACGAGACTCAAGCCACGCGAAGGGGTGGATCCATCATACCGGAACTGTGTCTCTACTGTACGATTCGATATTTGGCCGGCGGCTCCTACCTGGATATTACAGACATTGCTGGAATTTCCCGTAGCTCGTTCTATCGAGTACTATGGAAGACAATAACGGCATTGTGCAAGTGTCCGCAGTTGAAGATTCGATTCCCCGTACTCAACAGGAAATAAAGACTGCAATGGACGGCTTTGCCGGGATATCGGACGGTGCTGCCATACATAACTGTGTTGGTGTCGTCGATGGCTATCTTATGCGTATCAGGGTACCAACCAAGAAGGAAACTGGCAACATCCGAGCTTCTTCTCAGGTCACTATCAGTGCTATGGAGTAAACATCCAGGCCGTAGCGGACCACCATTCTCGGTTCATCTTCTTTGCCTATGCCGCTCCCGGGTTTCGGATGACCGTAATGCTATGCGGCAATGTGCTTTACAAAATTTGGTGGAGTCGCTTCCAACCGGTGTTTGCGTAATTGGCGATGCGGCATACATCCCTACGGAGCACATGGTACCGGTGTACCAGGGTTCCGACAAACTGATCCCACTCTACGACAATTTCAACTTTTACGCCAGCCAGTGCCGCATAAGGGTGGAGATGGCCTTCGGCATTATGCAGATGAAATGGGGTTTACTATCGCGTCCTGTTGGCTGTTCATTGAAGAACATGATATGGCTGGCGCAGGCTATAGCTCGCCTACACAACTTTTGTATTAATGAGCGACTCGAAACGGCGGGCCCAACGACAGAGCCTGTCACCAATGTGAACGGCACTGGCTACATTCCCAGCGTTCCCCATGATGTGAATGGTGATCCTGTACGACTTGACAATGTTTATTCGAGCTGTGAGGGGATGTCGTACCTACGGGAATTCATGGCCAACAGAGTCAAGCGCCTACAGCTGAAAAGACCGTCGCGCAACAAAAAACGTAGAAGGGAAGAAGAATCGTAACACAGTAATCACACCTATATATTATTCCGTTCCTATATATTAATATTCCGTTCCGACAATGAGGGAAGATTCAGCCGGAATGTTCAACTTCTTTTCGAGTCGACAAGTCGAATTTCCATGACTCTCGCAAGGGGAGCGCTGGAGGAGTCACCGCTGTCTATTTCCGCCCTGATTTTCAGGTACTGTTTGCCAACCACCAGATAGCCATCCCAGAGATTCTTATCCGCGGCATCCTCGTAATCTCTTTCCTTTGGACAATAGATTCTTTCAGGTCAGAACTGACGCTGGTGATCGATGCCATGACGTCTGCCGCAGCTTGTTTGCCGCCTTTACCGGCAGCATCAGCGCTTCCTGTCATATCGACGGTGGAATCACTCTTCAAACTGGCTTCCAGAAACGTGGCAAATTTGCCTTCAATTGTGGGATGGAGTTTGCAGAGATAGGCACAATAGTACACCGCTATGGCAGGTACGGCCGCCATTCCCTTCCGAGGAGTACACCACCTCTTCACTATGCAATAAGTCCATATGTCATTGCTATGATGGCCCGATATCTTCATTTGTGCAAGACAATTATCTTTGGACTTCATCAAATCGCTCATCAGCCGCTGAACTGACTTGTTGTTCTGGTCACGGTTAATGTCATTCAAGTTGAAACCGAATTCGGCACTGTACGCAAGTAGATGTTCGTCTTCCCCCTCCTGGAGACCCAAGACGTCGTCAAATAACCGTTCCTCAAACGTCTCATTCGTCTCATTCATGTGCTCTGAAACGAGAAGCCAAAAGTCCTTGAACGGATTTCCGGTCACACCCTCCTGTGAAAGAGGCTCTCGTTCGAAGTCCTTTCGATTATTGCTGTCGTTGAGGGAGACGAAGTGAGGGTAAATAGTAGGATGGAAGCAGATATTGAGGACTTTGACGAGAGTGTTGATCCTCTTGGCTAAGGGATCCAACGCAAGGTTTGAAACTGTCGTGTCGTTGTACATGGTTCCCATCTCAATACTGCGGGCAATCTCCTTCCTAGCATCGTACATTGTCATGCTGCCTCCTCCTTGACTTGACACTTCAGAGTGAGTTCACGGATCTATACACTACTGAATTTTGACAGATCAAATGTCATTTCGTTTGGTTCTCCTTTGTCGTAGATCAACGTCTTGGCCACACGGTACATCTCCTTATCTTTCGGATTCTCTTCTTCACCGCAGACAATTTGCTTTTTCAAGGGGTCGTACTTGCTGATCACAACTTTGATGCGCTCTGCCTGCTTAGCATCGGCCACCTTCTTCGCTATTTTCTCGTCCTCTTTCTTCTTCTTTTGTCCGGCCTTTGCCGCTTCCCTCATGACCTTTCGCTCTGACGGGGATGCAGACCTAGCAGGCGAAGGGGAGCTAGCACGATACCGTGGCGGCCGCTCCCGTGACTCTTGCGCTTTGAGTTGTCCCATGTACATGTCTTGGGCAATCGGATCTTCGTAATAGGCAGGGTGGTGCGGCACTGGGGCTCCTGTTGGTGGAGTTGCTGCGTCTGCAGCTGGCGCTTTTGTTGTAGATCCCACAAGCTAAGACGTGGACGCCCACCAACAAGAAATTCGCTGCGGGAATTGAGGCTGCTGCTGCGACTGCTACGACTGGAATGACTGGGGCTGCATCCACTACTTCGGCAGCCAATACTTCGGCTTCCCTTCGCTCTCTCGTCTCTCTTCCTCTTGTACCGCTCATCAGACTCCCGCATTTGCCGTTCTATATCTTGGCTAGAACCATCGCTATCATCTAAAGCCATGACAACGACAACGACAACGGCAACGGTTGGAGTGCAATTCGATTCGGTTATGGGGATAGGAAGAACTCAAAAAAAGGGAAATTGTGGTGAAAGAGGAGCCACAAATGGATGCACATGATGATTGCCTGTGGATCCACATGCACGAGGATAGCTATGGCAACCCACGAGATTCTATCAAAGAACAATCATATGCGATTTTCACGAGTTTTCCTGACGTACGGTGATTGCGTTTTGGCAGAATCTGGTGGGTTGGCCATTTTCGTTAGAGTTGGGGATTCGTTGGGACTGACGTTTTCGGAAGCTGGCTGGCTCTAAGCCAAATCCATTTCCACGAAAGCTGCGGTGCGGCGAATTGATAATGTGAAATCAATGGTTCGCCGTACCGCAGCTTTCGTGGAAATGGATGGAAAGCAAGCCGATTTTAACAGTTAAATAGATTTCACGAACGAAGGGAGGAATAAAGAGGCTTAAATAGCTGGTTAGGACCCCGCCTGACCAAAAAGTTGAGCTAAATCTTCAGAATCGAGGCCAATTCACTGCATTTTGAGAATTCTCGGCTAAATCTTCAGAGTACCGTAGTGTTGATGGTGCATACCAGTACTAGCTAGCTAGATAGTAGTTCAACACTCTACTCCACACAGTAATTACACGCTCGTTGAAGGGGATTAAACCAGTTTTTTCCACTGTTGGTGCAAAATTCAACACTTTTACCCATTTCAACAGTTACGATTTATTCTCATTCAACACTTTCCCTCCTCAAATCGCCAAGCTTTCAGAGGGAAAGTCATCCACAGTCCGGAAGCCGGCGGCGGGTGAAGTTTGGCTTTTTTTGTGTACAGTCAACGGTACGGTACTGGTATGCCATAGCATTTTGCCGTGTACTGTAGAGCATGAATCTTACTTGGCAAAATTGTGCTGACTGAGTCACTCAAGTCCAGGGGCTGATGAGAGCAAAATCTCAAAAACTCAAGTCATGACTCATGTGTTCAGCCTTGTGCGGACATCGCTGGGTTTGATCACTGCTGACGTGTTATGTCACTCCTCTTCTTCTAACAATGTACATTTATGTAATGAATGTGTTCCTCGTCCGATTCCTGGAGTGTTCCAGATCCAAAGAATCAATCAAAGAATCCACGATGATATCCTCGATGCTATGGAGATGCTTGATGGCGGCGCTCTTCCTGATCACAGGTGGAGCTGCCTTTGTTGCCCGTCCAAACCCCACAAGTAGAGACTCCCGCCTCCTTTTTGCCAGCAGCAGGGCGTTGGATGTGCTGCAAGAACGACAAACGCGGCTGGCATTGGTAGAAGCACAGCTGTCTCTGAAAAAGGGAGCCTCGTTACAGGAGATTCTTGTTTCGGGACAATTGAGACTTTCCATCAATACTACCAGTACTAGCAGCAACACGGATCGCTATCGAAGTTGTGTGGTGCTGTCTACTCGAGAGGAACAAAAGCTCGACAGGAGTGTGGATGAAGTCATTCCAGCCGTGCTTTTGCCACTGACAAGTCCCGCACAACTCAAGCTCTTGTCTTTTGCCAAGGCATCCCGGCCACTGAGTAAATCTGTCTTGTTGGGCTTGAACGCCTTGCTGGTCAATCGAGATGGTGCTCTTTTCGACAATCTGCCCTGGAGTTTGTGGAGTGTGGATCCACAAGAAAGGAACTACGATGCGGCACGGAATCCCATTGACGCCAAGTTCCACTTGGGCAAGCGAGATGCCTACAATCGTCTCATGGGCAAGGATTGGCAAGGACGGAGTTTATCCATTGGTAACATGGCCTTGCGGTTAAAGTATATGCTGGAACGAGAGCAAGACGAGGAGAAGGACCAGGAACAAACAGCCGCATCAGTCCAAGAAGCAACCTCCAAATTTTCCCTGGCACAACGCATACTGGAGGTTCAAATCAGAGAACTCGAAATGGATCTGGCAGAATGGGACTATCAATTGGCCGTGGCCAGGAACAATCAACCAGACCAAGTGGAAGAACTGGACCAGGAGCGCCAGTCCTGTCAGACACAACTGGAAGAGAATCGTGAAAAGCTCAAGGCTTTGTTGGAACCAGTTGAGCAGGCTGATGAAGCGTCAACTCCAACCGGCATAATTATCTCTATTTTGAATGAAGTGGCAGACTGGACCACGGACTATGGAAAGAACAAGGCCCCCTACAGAGGTGCCATGGGATATGCACCCTTGCTGGATACCATAGATGACATTGAAGGTAGCACGCTTCCGTATACGAGTCCTTATGATGTGCTCAAGGAAATTTTAGATGATCAGTTGAATTGTGAGGTGATCGGAGCGGTCCTGGAGAACAGCAGTCTGTTGGAAGGCACCTTGGCACTAGAAGGGGCTCTCATTCTGCGCCGCAAGACAGCTCAAAAGACAATCAATCTGGCCGGGGAGGAACTCACTGTCAACGATCAAGACGAAGACTTTGGAAATCAGGAAGGCAAGGGAGGGGAAACCATGCTGGTGGAATGTGATGGTGACGAGGCGCTGGCCATGGCCTTGACATGCAACGTTCCCATTCATTTGGAGCCTGGCGTGTGGGATCGAGCCAATGTTCTCGTGTCGCAGTTGAAAGCGGAAAAAGAAGCCACTCATATCAAAGATGTGCTTCCTCTGTGGAAAGCTCGAAACCCTGAGCTGACCGTACGAAACGAAGGCGACGCCCAAACCAAGGAAACACAAGAAACATCTTCTCCCATTCAAATTCCTCGAACGACCACATCGTTGTTCGATTCCATCTTCGAACCTACCCCTGAGGGGGCTCCTTCTGGCATGTTCCCGACAGATAACCCCATCCAATCTTTGGACCAATATGATGAATTAAACGACGAGGGCAAGGCGCGGACGCTCATGACAATCAGCAACTTCAATGGAAAACTACCAAGACCCCGAGTGTTGAGAAAAGAGGAATCAACCAGAAGAGGCATGAACACTCTGGATGACTTGCTGGTGCCACTGATTGATGAATCTGCCCGAAGGCAGTACCTCATGAGAGATGCGGAGCTTCGTGGCGATACGGAGACAATCGAACGGCTCCAAAATGAAAAGACAAGGCGCCAACTTGCCAAGGAAAAAGCGGAAGTAGCGCGAGCCGTAGGAGATGAAGACGCGGCAGAGCGGTGGGAAGCAGAAGCAGAGCTTTACGGGGACTTGCGTGCAGACGTTACCCAAGACGAAGGTGCCTACAGTCGCTTCCTGGACCGGGACGAGTGGTATGAACGCAGCCGACGGGCCCAAGCGAAGAAACTGGACAAGAAGAAGTTTGGAACTCTATTGGATGGAATCGAATAGGGGTTCAGCCAATGCCATGCCGCAAGCAAGCAGAAGACCGCCCACAAATCACAAAGAGTATCTGCACAGCTTGAACTTAGAAAGGTTGCTTTCGTTTGACCTGGAAATTGAGTTTCCTTCTCGCTTGGAACCATGCCAGCGATCTTCCCCATTCCCTTCATAAAACCATACTGAATGTCTCAAATCGCATACAGTTCGATACAAACATTTTGGTTTTTAATACTAAAAGAAAACGTGCAGGTAGGTACTAGTATGCATGATTATGAAATGAATAATGAGCTTGGGGATCGTTGTGGTGGTGCAGGAATGAACGAAGAGTTAGTGGTCGTCGTCATCGTACAAGGCGTAGTTGTCATCAAAGTAAAGCTCCACTTCGACCGAGTACTTCTTGATCTTCTTGTATGAGAACGTCTTGTCAGCAATATGTTGACTGTAGCCAACTTCTTCACACCATCCTCGTGTTACATCAAAGCCAGTGTAGATGTTTGCGCCCCAGATCAGTGGACGAGAGACCAAGTGTGGAACACAAAACTGTGCACACATGTATTCCTCGTCATATCCTGCCGCGTCGTCGTCGTCTCCCAACTGGCGCTCTTGGTCGCCGTTTTGTGCCGCCTGTCCGTTGTACTGACCGGCAAATTGCCCTGCGACTTCGCTATTCATAATTTCGTCCACGTGTGTCGTATACACCAACTCACATCCAGTCAAGAAGGGTTGCTCGAACATTCGCTTCGGTTTTCGAATACGCATCACGAGGCAGGTGAACAGCACAACCAGAAGAAACAAATATGCCTTGAAGGGACGCTGTTTTCGAAGCAACGTGACCTTGTTGGGCATGTCGAGGGAATTGTTATCTTCGGAATACGTCGTGTAGGACTCGTGAGTCTGATCGACAGTGCCTGCCATGCCCGGCGTTGTTCCGGGAGGGGAGTAGACCCAGTACACGCCAGCGGCAAGTCCTCCACCCAAAATAATGGCATACAACATCATGACCCAGCTGTTGAATGGCAGAAAGAGACTCGTAAAGACAAAAAAGACTCCTGTGATTCCCCTCAACGAGGGAAAAGCCTTCTGCTGATGATACCGGTGCATGACAGTGGAGAAGGTTTGCAACCCCAAGATGAGGGCCATACTAGAGCAGCTTGCTCCACTGACCGTGCAAGCATACAAGATGTTACATCCAATAGATATCAAAACAGCCAGCTGGAAAAAGGACGACGACGCAAATTGAAACCGTCTGTTTGTGCTTGCTGTACTGGTTGGCAACGCACTCATAGCCTTTTCCATGCGCCGCATGCAAGAGACGAGGGAGTACATGACCATGAGGTAGGTGATGACGCCACTGCACAAAAAAGTCGATGTAATGAGCACTCGTAAGATCTGGTGACGGTAGACGACCAATGTAGGATTGTTAATGCCAAAGGCACTCAACGTGGTGGCGCTGGGTCCAATCGATGGATTGTACACAATGTCCTCAATCCCATTCCATGTCATGGAACCCACAAAGGTGATGGTGACCGCGGCGCCATAGGCAATGGTAACGGGAGCCTTGTCCAAAAAGAAGGCAATCGTGGCGGCCAACTTTTGCAGATTCTCCTTGAGCTTGGTCCTCAAAGTTTTCCTGGCTCGAATGTTGGAATGCATAATCATGCCATCCGAATCTTGGTTGCCATCGGAGTATTCTCCTTCGGTCGTTCCCAGGGCGGCCCGTCTTCGTTGATGATACCCCGTGGCGCCAATGAGACTGACGGCGACCAACAGGGATGCCCAGAACCAGCCACTGGCGGACGGCGACAGACTCTTGCGCGACTTGAGAATGTTGGAGGCCCACTTTCGAAAGTTTTCTCCTCCAGTGGTAATGCCATAGTACAATCCAAAGGAGCAGTGTGCTTCGGCTTCCATGTAGAAACTGTCCACATTGCGATGTTTCTTGACAATGGAGTTGATGGACGTGCTCAATTCAGTCCACCAGTCATCTTGATTGCCATAATAATAATTATTACCATCATCCAAACGACGACGACGACGGTTGTTGTACCCACTCATCTCTGTAAAGTACTCATAACTGACGGGATCTTGTGTGTGGGAAATGACCCCCCATTGGTTCTTTCGGTATCCTCGCTTGAGCACGTGTTCCATGAGTTTGGTGCTGAATTCCTCGGAATGACTGTTATGACAAGTACAAAAGTAAGGCGTGAGTGAGTGACTTACTTACTCGCCGTCATGGTTGGGCTGGATTGGACTGCATTGGTATTTGTGATTGCACTTACCTGTACTTGTCAAAATTGAATCGAACTTTCTTCATCATGGGTTCGACGTTCCAGTTGGGTAATCCGTATTGCAAAAAGTTTTCCGGAGTCAAAAAGACGGGAGAATCCAACACGGTGGACAAACTGGTCGTTCGCTTTCCGCCCGTCTTGAAACGATTGTAATGATGAAAGAGCAAATCATATACCAACGGCAAGACGGTGGCTCCAGCCGAACATCCCGTAATGGCGATATGTTCTGGATGTGGAAAATTGTCATAGATCCACTCCAAGACGGCCATGGTATTGTGAGCTCCCTTGTGGTGTACAATCTGTCCACCATCATCGTCGTTGTTTCCATAGTCGACCGTTTTGCTTCCCATGTGAGTATCTTGGGTACAATAGGGCACAATGATGGTATGATACTCTCTGAAATCCACCACGGGATCATCTCCATATTCTCCTCCCATGGTTTGCGCACACAGCATGTTCAAGGGCAAGTCTCCATCGCCTTGATACATACCTCCATTTTCGTCTAACCCCGCTTGAATCTCGGAACAAGAGAGACCGGTCAAATCATCAAAAATGTAAGGAAATGTCAACATATCGGCCTGATTACCACACGTATCGGCATTCCAACAGGCGCCGCCACCGAGAAACTCCAAGAGAATCTTGTTGGAACTCCGTCGTCGCACTGGACTCGAGTAGTAAAAGGCAAAGGGAGTGCCATCCCCACAACTGGGTTCTCCCAAGGAAGACGTTGACGGACACAACTTGTGGAATGTGTTGGGGACCAGCTTGGACGCCTTGGTGGAACCGGCAGGATAGGAATTCTCATCGCAATAGACGGCCGCATGGGTTGGCAACAGCAGCAGCGCCGCTGTTGTCAGCACGGCAAGACCATCAAAGTAGAGGACCATCTTGACGACGACAAAAAGGAAATTGTGCCCGTTGCGAGGGGCTTTGGATAGTTTCCAACGGACATGCCGATCCTGATGCCAAAGGGGTGCGCGTTTAGAATTTGGATAAAAAGCACTAACCCTACTGATGAAACATCATTTTCTATTCTGAGCGCCACAACGGCACGAAACACGAAAGATCCAACCACCGAAACACACAGCAGAGTGCCAGTCAAACGACAAACCACAAAATCCAAAGAGACCTCGCTGAAACGATCGAAGATACAACAGTCCACCATGTCCTCCTCCTCGAACAAAAACAACAACGACGTGGGCGACAAGGAATCCAAAGCCCGTCTCAAAAGCGAGCAAGACGACGACGAGGGCCCGGTCAAGAAAAAGGTCAAGCAAGACAAAAATGACGCATCGTCACCTGCCAGCAAGAAACAACAATCCAGTCTCTTGAATTTCTTCACTAGCAAGAACAGCAGCAGCAAGAAGTCTCCTTCCAAGGTGATCAAACCAGAAGATTCCGTCAAGGACAAGTCTTCTGACGCTGCTGCTCTCAAACCACCACCAGACGACGACTCCAAGAAAGAAGAAACAAACGCCAATGACGCCACTGACAAGGACGCCACTGTCACAAAAAAGGAAGACGACTCGGACGTCCCCGATCCGATCATTCCTCGTGAAATCGCGCCGGATCGCAAAGCGCAGTGGAGAGTGATTCAGGATTGCATGTTGGTACGATCCATCAAATCGGAAACCCCGCGAACCAAAGTGGCCGCCTTTGATGTCGATGGGACCTTGCTGGTCTGGCGCACGGCGGGATGGCCGTCCAAAATGGAACATTACGAACTATGGTCCTCTACAGTCCTACAAAAATTGAGAGACTTGCACGACAATCAAGGCTACAAACTGATCCTATTCTCCAATCAAGGAGCCATTCGAAGTGCGTTTACGGGAAAAAAGGCAACCTTTATCAAATCACTGTTCGAATGGTTGGCCCATGCCATCAATCGGCCGGTCCAAATTGTTCTGAGTACCAACAAGAAAAAGGGATTCCACAAACCTGCTCCCGGAATGTGGCAAATCATGGAACAATACTGCAACAAGGGAGTGGCCATTTCCAATGAAAATCTACAGGATTGCTTTTTTGTCGGCGATTCCGTGGGTGACGAGGATCCACAAGGGGGTGTCGATGAGAAATTTGCACACAATGTGGGAGAGTCAAAAGGAGCCGCACTAAAGTTCTATACACCCGACCAATATTTTGGACCCAGTGACAGTCACAAACGCAAACGACAGGGTGTCATGGCAGACTTTGATGCACCGCCCACGGCGGCTCTGAACGCTCGCAAAGCGCTCTTGGGAGGCTACTTGCATGGGCCGATGGTTCTTCTTTTGTGTGGCGTTCAGGGGAGTGGAAAATCGACCTTTTGCCAACAAGTAGTAGCGCTGAAGAAAAACAAGAAGGATGGAAGTGCTTCGTCCGACTCGGAAGAAGAGGAAAATGAAACGAACGGCAATGCTCCGTGGGTGCACTTTAGTCAGGATACCATCAGCAAAGGGAAACCAGGTAATCGACAAGCGGTCGAAAAAGCGACACGAGAAGCTATCCAACAAGGTTGTTCGGTGATTGTGGATCGGACGCATCTGGATGCTACTCAGCGAAAGCATTTTGTCGACATTGCCAAAGAATTGAAGGTTCCAGTTCATATCCTTGTCTTGCAACCTCCCAAAGACACCATCACCAAACGTGTGCGGGAACGAACCAATCACCCAGGCAAAGTGCAAGGGGACAGTGGTGTACGCATGGCGCTCATGTCCATGACCAAATTGAAACTGCCAAACTACAAAGACGAAGGGTTTGATCTAATCACTAGTGGTGTCCAGCGGGACAGTCAAGTCAAGCAATTGAGCACTCAGTACCGACAGGTCCGCCACAAGGGCAAAACAATCAGTGACCAGGCAACATTGCAGCGTCGTGCCAAACTGTCCTGTGGCATTTCCATGCCCACACTAGCTTTGGGCACCATGAAAGTCGGTAAACGCATCGGAACAGAGGTGGTCAAGGGAGCCCTGGATGCAGGATGGAGAGCTGTCGACACAGCTCCAACTTACAATGACAATGAAGAGGTCGTTGGCAAAGGACTTGCGGCGGCCAATTCCAAGACATTTGTGATTGTCAAGGTTCCCAAGAGAGCTACACAACCAGAGCAAGTGCGACAGGAGCTAAATGCAAGTCTGAAGAAACTTGGACTCCAAAAGGCTGGATTGCTGATGCTACACTGGCCCTGTGATGTTATTGAGGGAGGAACGCTGAAGAGTGTTTGGGAGGCCATGGAAAAGTGTGTCGCTGATGGCAAGTGTGATGCACTGGGCGTGAGCAACTTTTCGGTGGATGCTCTTCGGCAACTTTTGCCACATTGCACGATCCTTCCTTCGGTCAATCAGGTGGAACGGCATCCCTTGCTTCCGCAAACTGCATTGCATGATTTCTGCATCAACCAAGGCATTGTACTGCAGGCGCATACAACGCTAGGCCAAGGGAAACTCCTCTCCAATGAGACGATTATGCAGGTTGCCAAACAGGCCAAACTTACTCCTGCCCAGTTGCTCGTGCAATGGAATGTGCGACAAGGGGTAGCTTGTGTTTGCAAGTGTGCCTCGAATACCCACCAAGAAGAGCTGCTGCTACCATTCCATTCGGACAAATCCCCTCTGACCAAAGATCACATGAAGGCATTGGATGAGATCAAGGAGAAGAAACGGTTCATCTCACCACCGTTCATGATGATTCCAGGTGCAGTCTATTCATGGCGCGGATAGCCAAGCCACGAGCCGTACCTGGTACCAATGTGGTCTTCAGTATTGCTGTTCGCGCCTCTGGATCTGAGCCAACGCTAAGATAGTCTTCTCTACATAATAGACCGAGCAATTTTGACCGCCAATTGATTGCGTCGATCGTACGGTGCCTCCAATAAAAGTTTGTCCTCCTGGTAACGCTAACCCTACAGGTATAAAGTCGGTTTTGGTCCATCGCTTTGAGACATCAGCGATACTATAGCAAAAACAGTACAATATCGGAAAAAAAAAAAGAGAGAGATAGAATGGCATATATTGTCGTTCCACGATCCATATCTTTCCACGAAAGGTACGAGTTTAATAAAGGTAGTGGGTGAGACACGTAGAAAGTGTACCAGCCCTACAGCCCAAAAATGGACCAAAACCGTCTATAAGGAAATGACTGTCTCAATGTCCGATTGACCCATAAGTAGATTAATACGAAATCGACCTCAATTACCATTGACTCATAGCAGTGTACCCATACTGACCACATGATTTAACATCACATACACTATGTTAACGTGTATTTCATTATTCGTTATACTTTTTGTGAGATAGTTAAATATTTTGGTCCATTATTGAGTCCCGTTAACTCAGTAAATAGAAAGTGAGACAGAAGGTTT